TACATTAGGGGCAAACAGGAAGTAAGTTGGGATTCGAAAATAAGGAAAAAGGAACTTGTATTTAAGCTTGCTGGAAGTTCACCCCAATAAACATCGAATTGTTTGCACCTTCGGACTTCGGGTATTGTTGCTCTCTGTTTATGCGAGAAGGACCAGGGAAGTAAGCGGGTGAAGGAATAAGCCCCCTAACACCCCCTACGCCCGAGCCCAACCACAGCCCCCATGGCCAGCCAGCCCAGACACACACACCGGAGCCCAGGGATCCAGATGCTGGGGCCTTGGCTTGCACAGAGTTTCCTGTGCACCACCCTCTCCTTCCTTCTGGGCATGCTGGGAACTGCAGCTCCTGGACACCCTCCAGTTCCCGCCAAATCCCCCCCCCCGGCTTTGTCCTATATTTGTGGCTAGTGGCAGCCAACATCTCTGCAGCCCATTTCTGTGGGGAAAAAAGAAAATTCTGCTCACCCAACATTAATTTCTGCAAAATTCTGCTTTGCGCAGTAGCGAAAATTCCCCTAGGAGTAATCAGGATACGCTAAGTTCTGCTGCACATGACTCATACAATAAGGAGAACAACATTTCATCACCCCACCTCCAAGAATTACGTGAAATTTAACCCAAAACAGCCAAAATTGATCACCTTGACAAAGCAGGTCTGTCTGCCGAGCACACTGGGGAAACAGGTGTGTCTATGGACATGTAGTCTGCTCCTCCGCTCCCCCAGTTTATCCATAGGTGGGTGGGCATTCAGGGTCACTATGGAACGAGGTGGCCAATCCCCAGGAGGTGCTGGGTGTGCACAACCAGTCCCTTCAGTTCTCTCCAAGTACAATAATCCTAGGCTGGCGGAGAGTGTCCCCAGTGAAGTCCCTGCTCCACTTTGGTCCAGGCAGGATTAACATGCTGTAGTGGCCAGGCAGGGGCCAGTGACATGATCTCTCTTATTTGTCTCCCCACAGCACAGAGATCCTATGGAACAGAGGCTTCTTAGAAACAACCCTAGCCTCCCAGTGCTGCTGGGACTCACTCAGGAGTTATAGGGCCTGGGACTTCAGTTGCGTCATGGTGATTTGCAGCAGCATGGGGGATCTGACCCTTTGACTCCACTTGAGATGCCCCAGGTGGAACCTGAGCTCATTTCCCAGATGCACCCAACACGCACACACACACACACAAACCACACAATAGTTTTAGGGTGGGGTAGTTTATTTATTGATTTATTTTGCAGAGCACAAGCGGAGCCCAGGGCTGGCTGTCATTCAGGCGCCCCCAGTCGCACGTGTGCTCTAAGCTGCAATTTCCTGATTTCACATGCACACCCTGGGGTGCGCTCAAGCTCAGACTGCCCCGTCAGGAGCCTGGCTGGGTGCTGCCAGCCCCCCTGCGCCCTGGTCCTCCCCCTGAGGACTCTAATGGAGGTGGTAAATGCACAAGCACTCAGGAGAGATGGGTGATGGCAGCAGAAGGAAGCAAGATAAGGAGAGTCACAGAACAGTCTGGATGCAGGAGAAGGCCAGTGAAATGCAAGGCAGATGTAGCGCTGAATGGGTCACCTGGGAGCATCTGGATAAGGAATGGTTCAGATCTGAACTTTGGCTAACAGACCAACGCATCATTGCTAGGGAGGGGGACAGGTAACCCCCCTGGTAAGAAGGCAATGGAAGTGCACTTTGCTGGCCACATCAAGACATACCATGATGTACCAGAGGCAATCTACCCCTGAAGCCCCTCAGCGAGGGCAGGAGGGGAGGTGAGCGGGAAAAGAAGGTGCGCACCAGTGGAACATGTCAAAGCCTGGGGATGCCACTAGGATAATGAAGGCTCCAATTATGTTTCTTCTATTCTTTTTAACTATGAATAAACCTGAGGTCCAAGCTCAGTGCACAGGCCCACTTAGAAGCCGTTGAGCTTGATCCTGGGACAAAGAGCAACAGCAGCGGGGATGTACTGCCCTCAGCATGATGCAAGCTCCACCTAAGAGTGCTTGGGAAGGTGTGGGGACGGGGGCTGTGGAGCTGGTGGCTGGACACATTCTTGGATGCCAGAGATGACTCTTCTCCCTGCTGAATTGGAAAGTTTTGCTGCCCCATGGTTTAGCACCCATAGGATCACAGCGCACACACACACACTAAGGGCACGTTTAGTTTGCGTAGGGCATGACAAATGACATGGTATGGCTCTGAATACTTCTTTGATCTTGGTTATAATTAGCACCATTAACGTGAGTGACACTGTTGTTCATCATGAAAATGAAAAAATCAGAAAAAGAGACCGTCCAGAGGGCAGTTTGTACTGACCGCTCCGGGCCTGCCTACAACCATAGAATGGCAAGAGAACAAAACAAACCAAGGAATATCATGGGTGTGTGTATTGGTGACGGGGCACACGCGCATTCCCCTGAACTAACAGATCCACCGAATGAACCTGTCGAAGAAGCCAGGTTGGGAGAGGCTGGCATAGTCCTTCTCCCGGAAGATGGCAGCTCGGTCCCCTAGGCCAATCTTCAGCAGGACATCCATGTCCACATCACTCCCGAGGGCCACCACTGTGGGCATGACGTCCTGCTTCTTCATGGAGTTGATGGCCTCGTTGAGATTCTTGCTGCCCGTGATGCCGTCGGTGATGAAGACGAAGGAGAGCTCGGCGTTGCGCCGGGCAGCCCTCTGCCCGTTCTGCGGGCTGATGACGATGTTGTTGATGGCATGGATGATGGCAGAGCCAATGTTGGAGGAGGAGTCCAGGTACTTGATCGTGGACAGGGCCTCTGAGATGTAGGTCAGGTTGTACGTCAGGGGGAAGAGCACCACGTGCTCCTCTTCGCTGCCATACTGTAGGAGGGCGATCCGCGCATTCATGTTGTCACTGTCAGCCCTGGCCAGCGTGAGGCGGCGGGACACCTCCTCCACAAAGTTGTGGGCCCTGCGGAAGTTCACCTCTCCGGTTCGCTCTGAGCCATCCAGCAGGAAGACGATGTCCACAGGGCGCTGCGTGCACTGCATCACCGCCAGCTCTGTGGGCAGAGGGAAAACAGTCACGTCAAGCCTGGGGAAAAGGAACCGGGGGGGGGGGGGCTCCGCCATTTCCTCACAGTGCCTGGGTTGGACGAGAGCGATGTGTTTGTGGGGGCAACCCCCTCACTGCTTCCCTGGAGCCCCGATCTTCTCCTCTGCTCCCCGCCAGGCCAGAGTCGCAGTCTGAGCAGGGGTGTGAGGCAGCTGAGGACGGGCTGCGCCATGCAGCCGCAGCGAGGAGCCCCGAGCCCGGGGCAGGGGGCAATGGTGCAGTGGGAAAGCAGCCGCTCTGCAGCCACCCCTGGCGTGGGGTACAGGCCAGCACAAGGGCTGGCAGACAAAGGCCAGGAAGCAGTCTCCTTGCCACAGCCCAGTGGAAGGGGAAGCCCCATTCAGTGTCAGAACGGACGAAGAGGGGGCTGACTCTCTTTCTCTCCCTGGCAGCTGTCTTGTGTACCCCATGGTCTGGCCATTCACTGGGGCACTGGGCTCCCTGGGGGCACTGGCTGTTCTGCCGGGTGTTTCTTCGCTGGGCTCCTCTCACAGAGCCCCAGCACCCTCAGGCCGGGGCTGTTGGAAGCGGGAGAGTATAACAAAGCCTTGTAGGGTTTGAATGTCTCCCTGACACCTCCCCCTGCCCAAGCTCCTCTGTCCCGGGGCTGAGACCTGCCACCAGTCAGTTCCAGGAGGGATCCTGCCCCAGAGGAGCGAGACCAGGAGAGCTGCAGGCAGCTACTGATCATAGGCGCAAGGGATGACGCCATGAGGGAAAAGGCTGTTTAGACTCTGCACGGCCTGCCCTCAACAAGTGGGCGCTTCCATTGTGCTGTGCCAGGCCCCTGAGCCCAGCGGCTGGCTGAGCTGGGCGCAGAGAGCTCTGTCCCGGGGTGGGGCTGCGGCAGTGTCCGAAAGGGGCTCACCCGTCACTCACCTCAGCCCTGTGCTGTGGCCCGCAGCAGAGAGGTCAGCCTGAGCCTCCTGCCACCCCGTTCAATGGCCGGGCGCCCTCAGAGCCAGTTGGAACGTCTGCGGGCTCCCGGCCCGTTCACGTTGCACCCACATACCAGCGGGACGTTACTCCACTCTCAGGGTGGCTCCCTGCCCCGGGCTGTGGGTACGGCTGCCCTTTGAGTCAGGGGGATTATGCACCCACCTCTGAGGGGATGAGCTGCCCCCGAGATCCCTGCTTGGCATGGCCTGATTTTAGGTGAGGGAGGGAAGGGCCCCCCCGCCCAGGCAGGAGGCTCCCCCAAGGTGGGGCAGGGGAAGCAGATCTAGACAAGGCCCCCATAGCGTTAGTGGTCCCTGGTGTCAGGCTGCTGCCCATCATTTGTCTTCCCAGCTGCCAGCCAGGCTGTGGGTGCAGCCCAGAGGTGGGGCTGATGTTCCTCCTCTCCCGTGAAGGATGGGGGGCTGCTTCCATCAACTACCCCACTGGGATGTGACGGGAGGGCTGCCACTAAGCTTGGCAAATCTGCCACCCCCACCCCCAGGAGCATCCTCGAGGCCCGCAATAGCCAGCCCAGGGCTGGCAGCCTGTGCTCTTCACAGCCAGCTGCAACTGCAGTACGGGTCCATCCCCTGCAGCGTACAGAGCAAGGAGGCTACGGCTGCACCAGGAGCGAGGAGCTTGCAGCACGCGGCGCAGGGTGAATGGAGACGGTGGGTAAAGCAGATCAACCGAACAGGCACCACCAGTGCTTTGCGGAGAACCCTGCCTGTCCCACACCGATAACCCAGCCCGTCCCGCCCACCCCTGCTTCCCACACCGACCACCTGAGTTTACATACGGGGAATTCCGAGCTCTGACAGAACCACCCACGGCCCTGTTCGCAATTCTCTCCATGTCTTTTTATCGTTTCCCTCCAATGAAGAGCCCCAGCAGCCAGGGAACCCCTTTGCCATTGCATGGTGGGCAGTCTCACGGCAACCCCCTCCCCCTGAGATCATCTGTCCCCTCAATCCCCCCACCTGTCTGCTGCGCCGTGAGGCAGAGGGAAAGACGTGGATTCTGCGTCAGAGCCTGCCTGGGGGCTGTTAGGGACTTGCCAGGGGCAGGTTCTCCACGCACGGGCTCAGAACTGCACAGAGATCCTGAGGCTGCCCTCGGAGATACTGTTCCTGTCTTCTGGGGACTTAGATTTCTGCTGATTTGTCGTGTTCCCTTTCTGGGCGAGCTCCGCCCAGGAAACCAAACAACTAGCCGCAGCCTGAGGGGGAGGAGGGATAAACTCACCTGCTAAAACAAACTAAGCAGTATTGACTTAGGAGCCGGTTCAGCAAAACACGCCAGGCCGCAGGCAGCCCCGCAGAAACCAGCCGGGATTCTTCCTGGGCCAACAGTTGTGTGTCTTTGGCTCAGGTCAAAGCAGCAACAATGCTCTGAGTTTAGCGCTTCTCAGCCGCCCCCCAGCAAGCTAAAGCCACGGCTCTCTTTAGTGTCACACACCAAAATGGTAATGGTGTGTGGGGGGGTTGTTCACTTCACCCCACCTTACCTACGCTGATTACATCCAGAGACGGATAAATGGAGTCACCATTGGTAGGACCTCGCCCTGCTCCCAATCCTTTGCCCAAAGCTCAAGCCAAGCCAAGCCATTCAAAAGCCTGGCCAAGCGTTGTCAGCCCTTTTCTCGATATTTGCCAGCGCTGGAATTCTCCAAGCTCCCTCCCACGGGGCAGGCTGGCAGCAAAAGGGTCCGGCTGCAGAGCAAGAGGGGCATCTGCCCCACCCAAAGCAGAAAATGGCAGATCCCAGCTGAGCATGCCTATTGCCATGCAATGCTCAGCCTGGTTTCGCAAGCCCCAGAGCTCTGGCTCGTTCTGGTGAAGCTCTCGCACCTAGCCAGGATTTGGGGTGCAGAGTCACAAAACATTTCTGAGGTTTGCAGACTCCCAGTTCCAGCTCCTCCTTCCCACCCTGGCCCCATCTAGTGCTCTGGCAAATGTACCCGCTGCAGGCCCTTGAAAGCAGATGGCATTATAGCCCAAACATCACTGCACGATGGGATGCTCAGTCCAGTTCCGGGTATTTTCATCTGCATGTTAACTAATGAAATGCACAAGATAGCTGAAGTCATTGCAATGAAGCTACCTCCATGCCAGGGGGCTAGCAGAATTCACCCACTGGAACCTAATATTTGTGCCCCGTACTCTTTGGTCTGCTCTTCTGTAGCTATGGGGGAGAGTTTTGAAAGCACAGATAGCAGCATGGTGCCCAACTCTCTTTCAAAGTCAATGGGAGTTAGGTGCCTTTGAAACTCTCCCCATGTGGTCCCTTGGAGCAGGTTATAATGACCAGGGCTCACACGATGGGACTGTAACCTCTCTGAATCGTGTACACAGCTGGTTAGGAACTTTCCATGCCCAGAACAACAGCATGTTTACACCTAGTGTCTCGCACATGTAGGGTACATTATGGTATTTCAGAACGGCGCAATCACTGGGGAATAGCTTTTAGCTCCTTGTTCTGACATGTGCTGGATTTTCCTGCCTAGGAGTAGGCATGTGGCTTCTAGGACAGTGAGAAGAGCAAGTCCAGTATGCATACGACATGCAGGCAGAATGACACTCAGACAAAGACACAGGGCACATGTTGAGACCGGGGCAGTTTCCAGCAAAGCCCAAGGGAGACACAAAGGGGGCCCACCCCGAACCGCTCGCACGGCTCTCTTTTCTTTAATAGCACAGGTTACAGCGCAAGTTGAGTGATTAAACATTGTGATTATAGCAAAGGGGGTAGCGTGGTGGGGCTTCTCAGTTGGGAGCCTGGCCTCTCTGGGGGCTGGCATAACCCAAGGAAAGCCCGGTTAGTTAAACACAAAAAGAGAACACAGGAGAAAATTCGAGGACAATCAGAACAAAAGCTACGTAGGAAAACAGACACATGTTAGCACACATCCCTACACCCATCGCTGAGACAGGGCTTGCTCTGGCCCTCAGGTACACATCGGCAAGCAACCTCCCTGATTCGGCCATGGAGCCCAGGTGGGACTGAGGGCTGGGAGGGCCCACGAGGGCTATTTGACAAGCTAGCCTGTCATTGTGGGCTTGGCGTGTTTAGAAGGACAGAATAGGAGTGTCTCTTCGGGACAGGACAGCTCCTCTGCCAGCACCCAATGTTCCCTTAAAAAGTGCTGCAGAGACAGTGAGTGAAGCAGGAGCATCTCTCCTGGTGTCTGGGAAGATGCACTGTGCTGAGAGAACCGCCCCTGCCATCAAATCACTGGCTGGGAGCCACCGAGACTCTCTGGGCTCCTCCTAAGCTCAACGCGTCCACCATGGTACCCAGCCCCTCCTGGGAATTCTCAAGAGGCGCTGTTTACAGGGAACATTGCTTTTCCCAAGAGCTCCTGCTCCACTCAGCTGCCAGTCCTGTACACTGTCCCTAGTGCAAAGCTCAGCAGAGCCCCAGCACGGTTTCTGGATCCCCCACGATTTCACTGTGCACTATTTTAAAAGTGTCAATGAACAGGTCCATCCACTCCTGCCGCTCATGTCCAGTGGCAAACTTGGCGTTCTCGGCGGTATAGGCCAAAGTGGCCACCAGCTGGCTGTACGTGCTGGGGTCCTGGATTTCCCGCGTAGAGTTTAGGAACTGGGCGATTGACTCTTTGGTGTAGGGGAAAGGTATCTTGACCTCCTCTTCCATGGGGCGGAAAATAAGTGGGTTTGCATTCCCAGGGTTCCTGTCATCTGCAAGTGAGTGTCAAAAGAATATTTTCAGGGCTTGCTAGCACTGGTGTGTCCCCCACTGCTGCTCGGTTCTCTTACGTACCCTGCTCTGTAGGAAAGGCAGCCAGCACGGGAGGGAGCAGCAAAGACCAAAGCCTGGAAGCTCCGCTGTAGCCCTATCTCACTAAAGGACCAGATCCAAAGTGAAGGGAGAGCTGCTTGCTGCCTCCCATGGGGTTTGGATTGGGCCCTTAGACAGTACTTGGAAGAGGATTTGCAGTAAATGTATGAAGCTTCTATACAGCTACTGATGCATGTCCCCTCCTTCCTCCTGCACCTCCTGCTACGGAGAGAGCTGCTGAAGAAGGAAACTGTCCAACCTCCCTCTGAGCAAGGGGTCAGCTGGCAGCAGACAGCAGGGTTTGCCAGGTTGTTTCTGGGCAGCTGTCAGAGCGTTTCCAAGGGCCCATCCATGCAGAACTCAACAGAGTGCATCGGGGCAAAGCCACGGGCAGCCAACGAGGCATCCACCAGAAGCCACCCCACAAACACAGGCTACATTCCCGCACTGCACTGAGCCGGCCCCCTGAAACACCATGCAGCGCTCGTCTGCAGCGGACGGTTGGCTGGGTTAGAAGGGGCCCCCCAGACCCACAGAGATTCACATGCCAGCCTTTACCTCAACTCAGGTGGGCTCTGTGCTCAGCCCCACACGCTGAGCATGGGCCCCAAAGCAATAAATACCCTATTCTCCAGCAAGAGCAGCCCTGTGCATGGGAGGGGCCTGGGGCTCTGGGGCTCCTGCTAGGCCCCAGCTGCCCTGAGGAGCTGGCAGCGCTGGGGGGCAGAAACCTTTTTGGGCCTCCTATGCCGGTGGGGAGTAGGTGCGGTGCAGCTGGCTCCATGGGCTGCCTCCTCTGGGCGATGGAGCCCGGGGGCAGCATGTGGCGGAAGAAGTCACTGGGACCCCTCCAGGGCTGGCACTGCAATGGCGAGGGGCTGTGCGCAGGCTGGCCTACCGCTTTGGAGACCTGAGTGTAGAGACGTGTTTGTGGGAGATTATAATGCAGAGACACTCCCTCACAGGGGAAAGCAGGGTGAACACAGGAATTTAGAGAGGTGCCCTGGAAATGGGGGCGGAGAGACCAAGCACAGCACTTCACCACAGCCCTCTCTGGTTTGTTTTGCTGGAAGTTTTATTCCTCTCTCATTCCCTGGCTGGCTGTTAAATGAACCCCAGGAGCGTTACTCGGCCTGAGAAGTGCCAAATGAGGAGACTGCCCTCATTGTGAGGTTAGCTCCTGTGTTTGAAACTGAAAGCAGAGGCGAGGGGAGCAGGGGGAGCAGCAAACAGAGAAGAGCCAAGGCTCGTGTATGCATTTTGTGAGCACAACAATAGCTTGACTAGCTTCAGAAGGGGATAAGAAGGCAAAAATGGATATGTCGCAACCTCCATCCAGTCTGTCATTGTCCAGCAAAGTTGCAGAGAACTGGAAAAAATTCAGACAGAGATTTGAATTGTATAAAGGGGCAGTTGAGAAAAGTGATAAAGTGAAATCATCGATCTTTTTGCATGTTGTTGGGGAGGAAGCATTGGACAGTTATAACAACTTGAAGTTTGGAGACAGTGAAAGTATGAAGTTAAGTAAAATACTGACTAAATTTGAGGTACGTTGCATGCCAAAAAGGAATGAGACCTCTGAGAGAGACAAATTGTTTACATGCATGCAAAAAAAAAAAAAAATAAATAAATGGCGACACCAATAGCAACATCTGACAGAATTAAGGAAACTTTGGTGAGCTGACAGAGTCTCTGATCAGAGATAACACATGGCCTTTAATGCCACCAATGATTCTAAGAGAGAGACTGCTCTGCGAAGACAACTTCACTTTAGAAAAAGCTCTCCAGACCTACAGGGCAGCCGAAACTGTGCACGTACAACCCAGAGAGCTGCATTCACCAGAAGGGGTTCTCCATCTACTAAGTACAATGGCAGATAGCCGGAACAGGTCAAATCAAAGAGTGGAACCACTTGCTATGAAAACCACTTCTAGCTGAAGGCTGGGGACAGAACGTCATGTCGAAGGTGTGGATCACAGCATGGCCCCGGACAGCGTGTTGCCTTTGGGAAACTCTGTCATAAATGTGGGAAAAATAAGCATTTTGAAAAATGCTGCCGCTCCCAACTGCAGAAAAGTCAAGTGCATTCAGTTAAGGACAATCTGGTTGAGGAGTTTTCCCACAGACATGCTGGGATCTAGCAAGCCGGATGAGAGGGCCTGGATACTGCCTATGACAGTGAATGGAGCAATTAGTCCACTGAACCTGGACACAGGAGCTTAGGTTAATATTCTGTCCGAACAAGATTATGAGAGACTAAAAATAAGACCAGAACTGGGACCAACAAAAATAAAAGTAACTGGTTATTCTGGAACAAATATACCCGTGAAGGGGATGTGAACTGATAGCAGCATGTACAGGCCCTTGCACTGTAGTGCCAAAGGAGGAGACACCAACTTTAGGCCTGGCTGCACGTGAGCAACTCAATCTGTAAAACTGCAAGATCAGTCGCTCTCTCTCATCAAGACCACACTGAATTTGATTCCTTGGCGTTCGTCCAGGAATACTGTGATCTGTTTCAAGGGCTGGATTGCTTGCGGGGTGAACACAGAATCCAGACAAACAAGCAGGTCCCTCCAGTACCCATCCCTGCAGGAAAGGTGCTATTTGCACTCGGTGACAAACTCAAGGCTGCGCTTGCAAGGGTGGACGCAATGAAAGTAACACAAACAACTGAGGAGGCAGCAGAATGGGTGAGCTCGCTAGTCGTTGTGGAGAAAAGGCAGCGGCCCGCTAGGCAGACGCTTAGATCCCCGAGACCGCACCAAGGCTATAAAAAGAGAACATGTCAAACTACCAACCAGAGAAGAGATTATGGCGCAATTTGCAAATGCTCAGTATTTCAGTATATTGGATGCAGCCTCAGGATTTTGGCAGCTAAAATTAACTAAGAAAGCTCAAAACTATGCGCATTAAATACCCGAGTTGGAAGATACAGATTCTTACGTTTACCCTTTGGCTTAGCTTCAGCATCAGAAGTGTACCACAAAACCATACAGATGATCTATGGAAACATTAATGTCATTGACACCTCAATGGACGACATCCTCACCTGGGACTCAACTTGGGAGGAACATGATTACAGACTTCAGGATGTCCTAGATGCAACTAGAGCTGCAAACCTCAAATTAAATAGGGAGAAATGTGTTTTAGGGGTTACAGAACTGACTTTCGTTGGGGACTTTATTTCCAACAAAGGTGTAAAAACTGATCAGAGGAAGATTTCAGCCGTTGAAATGATGCCATGTCCCCACACAACGAAAGATGTCCAATGGTTCCTGGGATTGGTTAATTACCTTGGAAAATTCATACCTAAGCTATCTCCCAAAGCAGCGGCTTTGAGAAAACTCCTAAAGAATAAAAATCAGGGTGCAGAACAGGAGGAATCATAGGAAGGTTTAAAAACAAACAAACAAACAACTAATACACGAACCAGTGTTGAAGTTCTATGCACCAGGATGGCCTATTAGAAATTTGAGCAAACGCTTCATAGTCTGGGTTAGGTGCAGCGATTTTACAGACGCGTGAAGATCTGTGTTCCCTCTAAGCTGTGCGGTTGTGCAGTGGCCCAGGAGTGAAACAAGTGCCACACACTTGATGAGCAGAGTCGCGCACGGCAACGTGTGTCCAGGTGCCCCTCCTCCCACAGTTCTGCAGCCACGTTGCTCCTGCCCTCTGCCTTGGAGCCCCTGGCAGCTGCTTCCGGGACCCTCCTGCTGGCTGCGCAGAGCCCGGGGGGAGAAGGAGGTGCTGATGTCAGGGTGTCCCTCTGCCCTGCTTCCCCCCTACCCACGTACCCCGTCTCTCCAGAGCTGGGGAGGGGGGACAGGGCTCAGGAGCAGGAGAGCTCAGCTGCTGTAATCTGAATCTGAGCCTTCTGTTGTGAGTGCCTTAAAGACACGGCGTATGGTCTCTCAGACTTCCCCAGAACCCAGCACACACACACTCTCTGTCTCTGTGTGTCAATCTCACACACACACATACACACACTGTCTCTGTGTCTCTCTCGCTCACACACACACACACACACTCTCACAGTCTCTGACATACTTATCTCCCAACACGTATTTGTGTTGTTGTTTCAGAGTAACAGCCGTGTTAGTCTGTATTCGCAAAAAGAAAAGGAGGACTAGTGGCACCTTAGAGACTAACCAATTTATTTGAGCGTAAGCTTTCGTGAGCTACAGCTCACTTCATCGGATGCTGTAGCTCACAAAAGCTTATGCTCAAATCAACTGGTTAGTCTCTAAGGTGCCACTAGTCCTCCTTTTCTTTTTGTGTTGTTGTTATTACTTCTTGGTACTTCTTGCAATGCACAGATAGTCTCTGTAATTTTATTCTTTCAAAGTGCTGTTATTTTAGTTTGACTGGTCTGTGCATTTCATAATTTTATTTCTCTCTTATGCTTAAGTTTAATTCTTTGAATAGTGAGTTCTTAAATGCCTAACCTGTCCTGGCTGGAGTAAATTATCCCTATGGTAACTTTTTAAAAATAAATATTCTATGTAGGTTTTTCGTTTCTACTGGTGGCGCACATCCGCATATTACCTTGGTGCATGTAACAAAATTCATTCCACACATGCATGGAAAAAATTAGAGGGAACATTGGTGAGGACTGTTGGCAACCAGTGTCATATCCAGCCAAATCACTGACTGAGGTAGATACCAGATACACACAGATCCAGAAGGAGCTTTTAGGAATATTGTTTGCCTGTGAGAGATTCAATCAGTATATTTATGGCCAGACAGTGGAAGTTGAAATGGACCACAAGCCCTGGATAGTGTTATTTAGCAAACTGTTAAATGACTGCACCTTAATGATTCAAAGCATGATGATAAAGATGCAAAAGTATGATTTGGTTGTGACCTACACTCTCGGTAAATTCATGTTCACTGCAAATGCACTCTCCAGAGCAGTGGCTCCCACGAAACCAGAGAAGACTTTAGAGATAGAAATGCAAGCCTATGTAGATTTGATTGTAAAGTCAATTCCCATAGCTATCAGGAAACTGCAACAAACAAGAGGAGAAATGGAGAAAGATGAATAATTGGGGATCCTTAAAGAAGTGATAATTAAAGCATGGCCTGAAGAAATAAGCAGTTGCTGTCCAAGTATAAGAGACTTTTGGAACTGCAGACATGAACTTTCTGTGATAGATGGGGTGGTTTTCAAGGGCAGTAAGGTTGTAATTCCAGTGAGCTTCTGAAAAGAAATGCCACAGAAGATCCACGAGGGTCGTTTGGGAATTGAGAAGTGAAAACAATGAGCACGAGGGGTGCTGTATTGGCTGTGGATCAATCATGACATTACTAATGTGGTAGGAAACTGCTTTTCCTGCTTGAACAAGCCAAGCCAACGGGCAGAGCCACTGAGATCTCACCCAGTTCCACGAAGGCCTCATGAGAAGGTTTGTGCTGGCTAATTTACCTGGCAATCAAAGGATTATTTAATAGTCACAGATTATTCTCTGTAGCCAGAAATGTGCACACTGCACAGTACCAATAGTAAGTCAGTGATAGCTGGCATGAAGGGAATCTCCTCCAGACATGGAATTCTAGAGGACGTCTTTAGTGCAGATTTTAGGCAATTTGCCCTAGATTGGGATTTTCATCACAAAACATCAAGTCCAAATTATCCCCAATCAAATGGACTTGTGGAAAAGTCTCTACAGACAGTAAATAACTTTATGAAAAAGGTTTTTTGCCAGTGGGGGTGATTGGTGTAAAGTGTAACTGGTTTACCGAAGTGCACCTCTGGAGAATGACTTTTCTCCAGCTGAACTGTAAATGGGAAGAAGGCCAGATCTAAGGTACTAATCACTGATAACTTGCTGAAAGCTCATATCAATGAAACCATATGGAAATGAAAGAAAAGCAGAAGTGGAAGCAGAAATATAATTTTGACATAAAGGCCAGAGATCTCCCATCTCTTAACCCAGGTGATGGGGTGTGCCTGAGGAATCACACCTCTGATACTTGGAGCCAAAGGGGTTCCATTAAAGAAGAACAGTGTGCAAGGTCTTATGTCATCCCGATAGACCAGTGAGACACATTCTGGCATAACTGAAGGGATCTATGAGTAATCCCAGAAAGTTCCAACACATTGACAGCTGAGGTGGACTCCGGCATTTCCCATCTGACTGATCCTTTACCATCAACAGAGAAAGGAGAAACTGTCAAGGAACAAGAGAACTCAGACTCTCATGAAAGAAAAGACTGATATTGAGAAGATTGGAGAGGGAGCTTAAACATCCTGAAAGACTCAGAGACTTGCTAACTTGCCTGGAGAAGGGGTAGTTGAGAAAAGTGAGTGGTGAAGACACTCCAGAGTGATGTGCTGGTAATCTGTCCTCTCTAGGGAGAGGACACATTGGGTTTATGGAAATGTACTAGATGGGTTGAGAATTTAATGCAGGTGTTGTTAGATAGTTGTTAGCTATTAATAGATATGTATATAAAGAGTTCATTTGTTTTTTTAAGAGGGACGATGTAGAGACATGTTTGGGGAAGATTATAATTTAGAGATGCTCCCTCATAAGGGACAGTGTGATAAATACGGGACTTTAGAGAGGTGCTCGGGAGGCTGGGGTGGGGAACCCAGTGTAGCTGTGCTCAGCACCTCACCTCAGATGCTCTTTAGTTTGTTTTATTAAAAGTTTTATTCCTTTCTAATTCCCTGGCTGGATGTTTAATGAACCCCAAGATTGCTACACTGAGGCCAATTTCCACCCTGCCACAGACCTGCCTGTGTGACCCTGGGCGAGGCATTCAGCCTCCCAGTGCCAGTCCCTACCTGCCCAGGGTATGCCAGCCCTGCCCTGCCCCGGGGCCAGGGGAAAGCCATTAGAGACTGCGAGTGCCTTGAGGCCTGCTGCTGACATGCGCTCTGTAAGACCCAGGGCTTGGCATGAGTGGGGGTGGGGCTCCTTGGCGTGCTCCCGGGCCAGGCCTGCCTGTGTTTGGCTCCAGGCCCTGGCTGGCCACTGACCCATCCGAGGGGCGGGTGACACATGCACATCTCATGTACCCCAGATAACAGGCAGCTCCTCAGAGCTCAGCACGGACCCAGCTGTCAGCCACAGGGCAGAGAGCTCAAGGTCAGAGTGGCTCTGTCTAGCAGAGCCCACCACAGCATTGCAGCTACGTACTACCAAGCCCTCAGCTCGCCTATGCTGCCCGTCACTGGGCTCCTCCAGTACAGCTGGGCTCCTCCCAGCTTTGGCCATGGGCTGCCTTCCCAGGGCCAAACCCAGCTGGACCTTGCCAGATGTCACACACAGCCTGGCAGGGAGCCAGAGCCAGGACAGTGCTGGGAGGCACCCGGGCGCCCCCTAAATCCCACTCACTCCCCAGCCCAGTGGGAATTCCACCCACCCAGAGCAAAGCGACACCCACCCGTCACCGCCAGGCCTACGCCTTCTCGGCCACCACTCCCGAGGGGAGTCGTTCTACAACAGCCATGTTCTGTGGGTGCAGGCTGAGCCCTGTCCAGCCTAAGGCCTGGGTGGGGGAATTCCGCTGGGGACCCTTTTAGAGTCCCCTGTCTCCCCCCAGGGGGTTTCTGATCCAGCCGTATGCAGTGCAGGAAAAGGGAAGTGGTTCTAAGCGGTGCCGTACCTGGCGCGGGCAATGAGAATGGCCGAGAGCTGCTGTGTGACGAAGGCCACGTTCGCCCGGGCCCGGGGTCTGATGGACGCTTGGCCCAGACCGAGCAGAACCCGAACATGCTGCTGTTCCAGCTGCCAGCGACGCTGCCCTGGCATGGTTCCTCTTTACAAATCAATCCTGTGCCCATGGCACTGCTCCCACCCCACTGCCAGTCTGACCTCGCAACTAAGCACAAAGCAGGGCTCTGAAGCACAGACGCCTGGCGCAGCCTAAGACAAAGCAGCAGCTGGAAGAGCAGGCTGCTGCATCCTTTGAGATCTCTCCAGACCCAGATTCAAAGCAGCTGGGTAGGACTCCATCAGACGAGGGGCTGGAGTGCATCGTCGGGGGGAAGGTGCCGCATTCGGGGCTAGCCGTTCAGCTCCGCAGCGCAGGGTTAAACCTGAGTCAGCGAAAGGAGTCAGCGGGGTTTGCACAGTCCCGACTGGATATTCGTGCACAACACACAGACTGACCCGACTCTTGGGTGCCAGGCGCGGCTGCAGCAGCAGGCACGGTCAGCGCGACGCACAGCAGCAGATCGGCAGGAGGGGAAGGCGCCCAGCTAGCCCCTCTCTGGCCTGGGACAGCAGGTTGGCACTTTCATCACAAGGTGGAAAACTCCACCGTCTTCCCTGCTCAAGGCTTTGCCATCTCTCCCTCCTCCCGGCAGTCCTTGGCCAGTCTTCCCCAGAGAGGGAGGCTGGCAGCCCGGAAGAGGTTTCTCTCTAAAGAAGCTTGCACAGTATTTTCCCCAGGGCAGTCGGGAAGTAGAGCTCCCTACACATGGCTTTCCAGGACAACCCTCGCCATAGGGCATGGCCCGGAGCTCCCTGCAATCCCTCCTCAGTCTTGCACTCCAAATTCACAAGTCAGGGCCCCCAACGTCATGAGACTGGCTGAAAAATCACGAGATTTTAAAGAGCTAAGAAACTGGGATTCGTTTTCTTTCCATCTGCTTTCCCAGCCTGCAGGGGGCCCGTTTTCCAGCCTTGCTCCACAGATTCCTTTTTAAACAAGTCACTTTCCAGTCCACGTAAGTTGAGATCCCGCAGTCCCCTGACTTGCGGAGTGGGGGCTTTCGGAAAACAACATGGTGAGACTCATGACTAAACCACAAGTATCGGCAGCACTGGGTGACCTGTTGTAACTCGCACGACTCGCATATCGCCAAACACTGGGTCTCTAATTAGATCGATAGATATGGAGCGGGAGGGAATATCTGTTATTGGACCAACTTCTGTTGGGGAAAGAGACACGCTTCCAAGCTGCACAGAGCTCATTGGCAGGTTTGCAGACAGAGAGACATTGCACTTTCCATGCTAGCAACAGTAGCTGAGGCTGGAGTTTTACCACTTAACAAGCAGAACGTGGTCCAAGCACTGGGATCTGCACCAAGCAGCACCTGCCTCTCTTACCCCACAGGGTTGTCCCGCCCCACCACACAGCCCCTTTGCACCCTGCTCCCCAACTCGGTGTTACTAGTTCATTTCAGTACAGCCGGTGTGAGCCAAGTCTCCACTGGAAGCCTTCCAGTTCCACTGTACTGCCCGCCCAGCCCCACTGAGACCTGCAGGGCAGGATTTCCAAAGGGTGGGGAGTTTGGCTCTGGGGGTTCGGCTCGTCCGATAACAGACAGGAACCATGTGAGCAGTTCATTCCTGGATTTGGATTCCAAGCCCTGCCAGGTCCCGTGGGGATTTAGGATCCGAGGTTTAGGCATCTCCACTGGGATGAGGAGAAGGGAGAGAGGGCTGAGCATGGCTGTACTGCACACACGTACCTGCCTGTGGACAGCCCTCAGCCAGACAGGCAAAGCGGGGGAGATGGAAATTGGGGCCTCTCTTGAGATAAAGTGACAGCCCCCTTCTCTGCCCCCGCCGGGGTATTGCGTGGCTAGAAAGGCTGCCGTTCCCCACCCACCCCACAGCCCATGACACTACCGTGCGGCGCGGAAGATCTGGAGCCGTTTGGCATTATTTTTACCTGTTTGGCAGGGCAGTTCTGGGCAGACGATCTGTGGATCTGAAACGAGAATAAAGGAGCAGCTAGCGAGATGGCCTCAGCAGCAGGCCAGGCCTCTCGCCCCATGGTGGGCGAGGACACACACCGGGGTGGGTGCTGCCCATGGGGATCTGCTCTCCATGGATCCATGGGGATCTGCTCTCCGGTTGGGGAAGAGCCGGTTGTGCTGATCTGCATTAGGGAGATGCGCTATCCAGTGTAACTGACCCAACCACATGCATTGTTACCCGGGGTCATCGCGCCGTGTGCTGCATACAACCGACCAACTCGCACCCCAGCCCTGGCCTCGCTCGGTGACTGAGCCAGGGTGGCAGGTGCAGACCTGGGCAGAGGACGTCCTCCATGTTGTCAATGAATTCCTCAGCCACCAGCTCCGAGAAGAGCCTCATTTTCTGGACGCGCTGCTGCTCGTTGCACGCAATGGAGCGCAGGGTCTCGTCCTGGTCTGGCTGGTTGAACATGTCGCCGATGCCGATGGCGTTGACGATCACATCTCCCTGGCAGAAGGCCTGGAGGTTGTTGTCGTCGTCCCGCGGATCGTGGCGCCCGTCTGTCACCACCACGGCAAACACACGGGCTTTCTCTCGCCTACTCTCCTTGATGAGCTTGTTGTAGGCAAACTGCAGGGCTGAGGGCGTCCAGGTGCCCCCGGCGATCCATTCCAGACGCTTCACCGCCTCCTTGAAGTTGGACAGGGAGTTAATGCGCTCGTCGTTGAGCTGGATGGCCTCGAATGTCCCCTCGTGGCTGTACTGCACCACCCCGACCCGGGCACCTGCAGGGAGACAGATGGTGACACCCCGCCATCCTCACACCCCTGGCACCCTCCCGCAGCTAACTGGGGTGTGTTCCCTAGGCAGGGCACACACTGGCACCATGCTATAAATGCCAAATTGTCTGGTGAGGGCGTCATCACTCCAGACCCCCGCACGGCAGCATCACGTGTGACATCACGACACTGCCACGCTGCGTCATGCATGCCAATGACATGCACCAGTGACAAGCACCGAAAGACAGAATGGTTTCACATGGTCAAAGTGCTGACACGGTGTTACAAAACAACGGGGGTCAAAACAAAATCCAGACAATTCCAATTCTCTCAGGCTCTGAACAATAGATTTTTGTATAGAACAATCCCTAATACAATAATAATCTAAACCACCAATCCCTTATTGCTGTTCTAAAACACAAATACAAAGCTAAAGAGCACCCCAAATCATATTGCCTTACAGTCTGAAATGCTCCTAAGTAGCTGCGCTCTATGACAGCTGACCCATCTCTCACAGGCCGCTGATAGCAAGTGGTAACATTTCTTTAAATCTTACATGTAAACGTTCCCTTTACCATCAACACACACACCTTCGTCTTTATTAACATACACACTCCCACCGCCCTACACCACATTGGCTGACAGATTTACTCCACTTGCTGACTGTTTCTCCTGAGCTCTCTCCCTCTGCTGCTAATGTCAATGGACCACCCAGCAAGCTTCCTTCTTCTCTCTTTGTTCTCTCCTGTCAGTGCCTTTGGCTGCCCACTGCCACACTGCCTTTTCTACTGTCCTGTCCGAACTGTCTAGGCACGTTTGCTAAGCTCCCTCCTGCGCACGTCCAATTCCAAGCATGCTGGAACGCACGCCAACAGTCCTCGCAGTCCCACCATTCTCGTTACCGCAGAGTTATGAGCTGCTGACCTTTCCCTTAATTTGGTTTTCCCGCCAGTTTTACTGTGACCTTTAACGGTGGAGTGACTCTTGCTTATTTAAAATGGGAGCCAGGGACACAGAATGGAGTTTCTCTGGTATCAGTGGGAGCCTGGGGAGGGAAGGGAGTCCTATGAGAAACATGTGACTGCCACCAGCAATCAGGAGACAGTCAGCAATGGCCGCCGGCCGTGTCATGAACATAGCAGCTGCCTCTTCCCAGGCTCTCCTCTGGTTCGGAGCCCAGTCTGCACAAGGACCTGTAGGCTGCTTGCCGTGTGGATGCCTCCCTTAGGGCAGGTGGTTAAGAGGTGGGGGCCCGAGGGCCCCGTCTGTCTCTCCCTCAGAGCCCCACGCCACTGCTCACACGCATCCCGCACCTGTCTCTGACTTGGGGTCCTTGGCAATGGAGCCCAGGCGGCTCACCACGTTGATGACAAAGTTCTTCTCCAGGGAGAAGTTGGTGTAGCCGATGCTTTCGGAGCTGTCTATGACAAACACGATGTCCAGGGCACCGCAGCGCTTCTCGCAGTCTGGGGATGGGAGAGAGGAGCGGATCACAGGGGGGACAAGGCCAGCAGGGACTGCCCAGAGAGCAGGGAGGGTCTCCACCGCATGGGAGGCCATCCACGGGAAGATCCCCCATCAGGTCCCTGCCATCCAGCCTCCGGCCAATACCTGAAGGAAAGCGAAGCTATCCACAGGCAGCTGGGCACCTCTGGGAGGAAACTAAGCTGATGCTCTGAGGCACAGACGTGGCTGGACGCTCATTAGCCTTATCTGAGTTTGCAGAGTTGAGTGAATTATCTAGCCCTTTACACACCCAGCTCAGCAGGGACTCAATCCCTGTCCCTGGCAGAGGAAGGTTGCGCCCAGCTGCGACCCACCATTCCCTAAGGTCTTTCTGCAGCACCTCTGCTGGGAGAGCACTAGAGACCGGCCGGGCTGTTTCACGCCGTCTGGGCAGCTTCACCGCTGCGATGGCCCAGCGTGCAGGGGCCAGCACGGACAGTCAGGCCCAGCGGGGTCGTTATTTCCCTGAACCTGAGCAGTGGGTCTGTGCTCTGCTGGGAATGCCATCGCCGCCACGGGCAGGGCACGCTCGGCACGAACGGTGCCAACGGGCAGCAGCTGTGCCTGCGGGCCATACGGTCTGTGAGCAAACCCACGAGAGTCCTGCTGCGCCCCAACTCTGAGGCTGTCAGTGGCACACGGGGGAGAGCTGGCCCTCTCCTCGGGGTGAGGTCTGCCACGTACGACCTTCCTGCTAACACCAGAGGCGTGGAGGGGGATGACTGGGGAGGGACCCCCCCGGGGTTCAGAGCCAAGCTGCTCAGCACTGACCGAGCCCCCAAAGAGAAGAGCATTGGACTGACCGCAGCAGCCGCAGGTTTCTCTCACGTAGGTCATCACATCGCAGTCCTGCCAGCAAAACACAAGGAGCAGAGCACTGGTGAATGCCAGCCTGCCCGTACGGTGGGGGTGCCCCAACCTTTCCCGGCCCGCAGCCCGGCTTCCCTTCTGATCATGCCCTTCTGCATTCCCTCCCTCAGACTCCGCTTTGGCTGTGGCCAGTCCCACACCGATCTCCTGCGAGTTCTGCGGCCAACAGGGGCATTCGCTGCTGCTCTGTGCTACAGGGTAAGTCCAGCCAGAGCTGCATCCCTGGCACCAAGAGCAGGATCTGCCTCTGAGTCTCAGTCCCACTCAGCATGTTGCAGGGGAACCGTCCCTGGGTGGGCGCCATCCCCCTGCCCCCCAGCTGTATCCCCATGAAGTAACTAGGAGCCTGGCTCTACTTACGGTTAGGCCAGGATCTCCGGGTGGGCCCGGATCACCCTGTAAGAAGAACACAGCGGTGTCATGCCCTTTCCCGGGACTCACCTTTGGGGTCTAGACACAGCTGCCTGCTGGGGCTGGATTCAGGCAGGCGCTGGCAGGAAGGGGAACGGTAACAGACCCCAGAGCGCCCAGCTGGAATCGTTAATGGCTGGCCCGTAAGGGAGCAGCCCCCTGCCAGTCCGGCGGGGGGAGGCCCTACCAGGGCTTCCTCAGCCTAGCTGCTGCAAGCACGTGGAAGATGCAGGGAGAAAGGGAGCAGCTGGGCGTGACCGATCTCACGGTGGCACGGTACGGTACCTCGAAGCCCTTTGGGCCTGGGCTGCCTCTGGGGCCAGGCTCGCCGGATGGGCCGGGGTCACCCTGGCAGGAAGAGAAAAGGAATGAATTGGACAGGCATGACGTGGGTGATACTGCTGAAGGAAAAGCCCCTCCCACTCGCCCTGGTCAGCAACACCCCAGCTGAGTACCCCAAGGGCTGCTGGACACTAGCTCCTAGCCGCAGGAGTGGCTGCGAGACACGGTGCCCCTGGTGCGGGGGCCACATGTGCCAAGGGGCCGGCAGGCAACACGTCCGGCGTCCAGCCACGCACAGGGTGTGCTCTGGTCTTGCAAGCGGCATGGCCCGCAAGCTGCCAGTTTGGTTCAGGGTTCTGGCTTGGGGGGTGGGAGCGGGGGCAGACTGCGATTCCAGCTCCACTCCCAGTGTCCAGAGACAGGCATTGCCCAGGCTGGGGAGCAGTAGCAATGCCAGGTGGGAGCTCTATTGACCTTTACCCACACCCAGGCGCCCCAGAGGCTAGACGTGCAGAACGGCAGGGTCCGTATGGCGTCCCCCCTACCTCTGCCAGCACGGTAGGAAAGCGGGGCCTGGACGTGGGAGCGGCACTGACAGTATACTTACAGGTTCCCCTGTGTCTCCTTTCACCCCGGGAGCGCCTTTCGGTCCAAAGTCGCCCCTTGCACCCTGTTCAGAGGAGGGAGAGATGTGACGGCAGTCAGAGCGTGTGCTGGGAAAGCTGCTCCGCTGTTAGACACCAGCGGTGCCCGGCTGTCACGGCAGGGCTCTCGGGGGGGACAGCTGGCGCAGAGCAGGGCCTGGCTCTTGGGGAGCTCCCTTGGGTCAGGGGAATCCTTAGGGTGGGTGGCGCCCACACAGTGCTGCTGCACCAGCCCCATCCTCAGCCCCCACACCAGAGAAGGGGGGCACAGATGTTCGTGCCAGGGCAATGCACCCTCCCTGGACTGCGTGTGCTGAGAGAGGGCAGCGCACCCAGCGACCCGAACCCCTGTGTCTGTGCGTACACGGATTGCTAAATCCAAGCAAATGCATCAGGGTCCTGCACACCCTTCTGCAGGTGAGTGACCCCTGGGACCAAAGGGGCTGCTTGTAGGACACAGGTTGCCAGGCCCCCAGGTTAGTGCCCCCCGGGGATCAACAGAGCTGCTCGCAGGTCACGGGTCAGCCATGCCCATCAGTGAGGTTCCTCCGTCACTCAGTGACAGGCCAGGAACTAGCTGCTTAGCACAGTGGTCAATTCGATAACCTCATAAATACACCCCCCTACACACACACACACACACACCCACCCCGTACCTCTGGACCAGGCGGTCCCTTCTCGCCTTTGTCGCCCTGGGAACAGACAGGAGTTTGTTAGCTTCAGTTTTGTGCTGGATTGAAATTTGCTGCACATGTGCCCAGAGACAATGGTGATGGGCACATTTCAAAATAATACACCAATATACTTGTGGCCTGGTTTTAGGAGGGGGTGGAGCCCCTGCAACTCCCCTGGACTTCAGTGGGGACTACAGGTCCCCAGCACCTCTGACAGCCCAGCCAGAAGAGCCCACTGGAGTCAGTGGGAGGCTCTCCACAGTCGAATGGGCTCTGACCCTGGCCCTGGCCCTGGCGCCCCACAAGCGACTGGCTGACGGCTGTGAGCAGAGGGTAAGATTCCCCGTCAGAACTGTGGTGGGAACACGTATCACTGCACTTCTCTGCACCCTGCCCAGCTGGCTCAGGCTGGGATAATCCGCAGGCCGCTATTTAACACAGAGACCAGTAAGTCTCCTATTCGATGCAGAGTCTGATTCATAGGGGATGTTTAGAGCAGGCCTGCATTCCTTACACCACCTTTACCCATCAGGGAGCAGGGGATTCGTAACGTGCAAACCCTGGTTTATTACACTGAATTCAAAGGGGTGTGAGGGAACCGGACCCTCCAACATGATCATTCTGTTCCTACTCATTCAGGGGAGCAATAATGCTTACCCCTGCCAATGGAACCCGCCTGCCAGCCTCTCACCGCTCCTTCCAGGCCTGCCCCTCTGCTGCGGGGGAAGGATTCCCCACTGCTTTCCTCTGCAGAGTGAGGCCAGGCCGCTGGGAGAGCTGGGATCTCCCCTGCACAGCCGGCTGCAGCCCTAGCAGCTAGTATGCTGGGCCAGAATGTGCTGCCTGAACCCAGGGGCGGATTAACCACTGGGCCAATGGGGCCCGTGGCCAGGGGCCCCGTCTAATTGGGGGCCCCCAGAAAAATGGGCGCCCCTGTGCCCCAACCCGTTCCGCCTACTGGACAGCAGGGGACTGCGACCCAAGCCCATTTCCCCAGCAGGAGTGCAGGGCGGGAGGCGGGGGGGGGCTGCAAGCAGAAGGGGTGGGGAGGGGCCCCCCACTTGCTCTGGCCCAGGGCCCCACAAAAGCTTAATCCGCCTCTGCCTGAGCCATACGTACCCCAAGTCCTCTGGGGCCAGGGTAGCTGAAGCCAGGTCTGCCTCGGTCTCCCTTTGGGGGGAAAGAGAGAACAGGTCAGTGAAAGCAGAACATTAAAACCCAGCGTGGGCTGAGCTCGCAACGTCACCGAGTTGGGAGTTTCCCTTCTCTAGAAGGAGTGTCCTGGTTTGTCAGGCAGAGGAATGGGGCTAAGAGAAGCCATGGACAGCAATGTCTTCAGCACAGCACTCTGCACCAACAGCACCTGCCTTCCAGAGACAGCTGGGCTGCCTGGTGGCAGCAGAGGCTGGGCAGGGAGCCGTCGTGGGCCTGGACACTTCACCCAGGTGTCAGCGGCGTGGCTTTGGCCGGGGGAAGGACTGGAGGGGGCAGGTGAGATCTCAGAGGTGCAGACTGAGGTGGGGGCCCCCATGAAGCACACAGGTGAAGCCGCTGGTTCCCCCCTTTCTACTGCACTGGACGTACATCTAGACTTTACCTTTGGTCCTGGGGGCCCTGGGTTGCCCCTTGTGCCCATGTCGCCTGGGTCCCCACGAGATCCCTGCAAGACAGTGTGGGAGAGAGCAGGGTAAGCTGAGGGCACCGATCGCACCCTGGGCCAGGGGATGGTGCTGCGGATGGCTTGGGAGTTACAGGGGTTAATATAACACAGAACAATTCCCCATTTCAATTACTGCTCGCACCCCCGCAGGGCCCATGCACCTAGCTCCTTTGGCACTACTGGGCTCCAGGCGGAAACCACCACTGCCACCAAACGAGGCTGGAATTAACCACACACGAAACCAGCTCTGGCCAAGCAACCAGGAAGTCAGGTCGGAGAGAGGCAGTGCGGCCTAGTGGACAGAGCACAGCAGCGGGAGCCACTGCACGGGCCCTGGATTCTGACCCTGGCTCTGACATGGATTGTGGGCAAGTCCCTGTGCCCATCTGTAAAACATGCTGGCCCCACTGCGGGGAGGTGGGCAGGGTGGGCGGACGTTTGTACCGTTCTTTGTAAATACTAGGGGCTGTTATCAAAGTCACACACTATTCCACAAGCACCGGGAAACTTACAGGCCTGCCCGGCTCTCCCACGGCACCCTGCGGGCCTCGGGGCCCCAGCACTCCTCGATCGCCCTGTGGAACAAAGCCAGGAGACAGGTCACCACACTGAGCGGCCAGGCACACACCAGCTCTCTGCAGCTAACGGGCAGCGCAGAGCGTACGCAGCGCCATCAGGGCAGGCGTGACTGGCAGCAGGGCATTGGATGGGGTGGGCACCTGGGCAGTCTAGGCTCCCAGCTGGGCACCTCTGAGCCGTGAGCCCTTGGCTGGTAGCGTCCCCTCTCCCAGGGGAAGCCTCTCGCTGCTGCCCCGGGGGTGCAGATTGCCCGAGGGACGCTCTCCTGGCGCTGTACTAACTCACGGCAGAGCCGCCCGCCTGAGTACGCAGTGCGATGTTCCCTTCCCCGGCTGACGCTGCAGGAGTGGGGCCAAGTGCTCAGCATTCGAACTCTGCTCCCCGGGCAGGGCTATGCTACCAGGGAAGGCCTAGCTTAGTGTCCCTGCCAGGTGCAGTGCCAGTGGGCATCTTCCCAGCTTCCTCTGCTTTGGGCCATCCCCCAGCTGGCTCTCTGGGGACTCCTTCCCAGCTGACGCCCACAGGGCAGCCGCAAGCAGCTACCTCTTCATCCCGGGGCCAAGCACAAGAGGGGCAGCGGGTGGCCAAGTTTGTGGCGCTGTGGAAAGGGAGAGAAGGGTTAAGAAAACCTCTCTCCAGCACCCAGATTACAGGGACTGGCTGGGGGGGGGGCGGCGGGTACTGCGGAGAGGGAAACGTGGCTTCCCACACCAGGCTCTGATCTCCTCATGGCTGGGAGACCTGCCTGCGTGACCGTGCACAGCATCCGGACGGATTCCTGCCCTCTGGGCAGCCCTCCTGTGTGATGGAGGTCGGCACGAGGGGACACGCTGCAGGCAGGCTCGGCTCTGATCTGCCCCGGGTCTCGCACAGCCACGGGCAGCAGCTCCACACGGGGCTGGAGAGCGGGGCCTGCCAGGGGCTTGGAGGAAGGGCACACGCGCTGCAGTCGGACATGGGGGGCGGACGCTTTGTGGAGACAGCTCGTCTGAGGGCCGCCTTGCAGGGAGCGATCCTGCACGGGCTGGGGAGGGCATCAATGAGCCATTCCCTCTGCTGGCTGCCCCGAGCCTGGAATTCGTGCTTACCCTTGCTCCTTTGCTGCCGACTTCTCCTGCTAGGCCCCGGGGGCCTTCGGGGCCGGGGTCTCCCTGTTGGCAGAAAAAGGTCAGAAGATACACTCACTGTCCGGCACTGCCCTTAGGCCGTGTCTCAGCTGCCCAGGGCCCCCAGCCCAGCTCCAGCTGCTTACTCTGCCTGCCCAGGGAGAGGCGCCATCTCGGGAGAGCCCCACACCTGGTTCCTTTCTTTGGGGGGGGGGTGATCAGGGCCAGGTGTCCTCAGCAGCCCGCACAGCCTGGAGCATCCATCACTGCCCTTTCTCCACCCCCTCAGCCCCAGGTCAGGCCCCCCAGGCTCCAGGTGGAGCAGGCCCCCCCGTAGCTGCTCCCGCGTCTGCTAGAGGGGTTGCTAGAATGGTGCAGGGCGCTCCTCTGCCAGAGCCCAGACCCCACCAGAGCCAGGGCCGGTGTGGGGTGAACGGATGGCTCGGTCTTTCAGGGTATGGACCCGAAGGCAGCCCACGCCCATGCCTCCCTCCTGAGCTGGAGAGCCCGGCTCAGCGCCCTGCACTCAGCCTGCTCTCCTCGGCAGGAGCAAGCGTGTCCCAGGCAAGCCCGGCCTGCCTTCGCTGACCCCCGGGGCCGCAGGAGGGGAGACTGGTGGCATTGTGGGGAAGCAGCAGCTCGCTCTCAGCCCGGCAGCTGGGCCTGACGGAGCCGTGCACGTCGTCCCCCGAGCACTCACCTTCTCTCCCTTGGTCCCAGCGTTCCCCGGGCTGCCTTTTGTCCCTGGGTCCCCGCGACGACCCTGCGCACACCGACACCAACCAGAGAGACGGGGCACAAAGGTGGAAACCAGCTCAGTTAACCTGCTGCGGCTTTGCTGCCCATCCCCCCCGCCCGAGATTCACTTCTCCTTGCCCTCCCTTGGCAGCGCGGGGCCCCTGGGAGGGGAGCAGAGGACCCCATGGCCTCACTAGGCTGCGCTGCCCTATGGCGGGAAGCGGCTGGGTTTGTCGTTAAGCATTTTCTTAGGAGAGTCAACACAGCGCAGCTCCCACAGGGACACAGACGGTTAATTCCCCTCGGCGGGGGCTTTAGTTCTAGCTTGAATTTGTCTAGTGTCAGCTTCCCGCCATTGGCACTTGTCTACTGACTCGGACGGATCGACTCCGATTTACTCCTCCCCACAGGGGAGCTGTGCCGATTTACCCCCTGCCCCCCACCCCGGGGAGCTGTGCTAATTTACACCCCCGCCGGGGGGAGCTGTGCTGATTTACACCTCCGCCGGGGGGAGCTGGCCCGGTGGCTCCAAAGGAGCTGTGTGGATTTACCCCCCCCGGCGGGGAGCTGGCCCACAGTCTGTAGCAAGTTCCCTGGATTCTGTCACGCCCGAGAAGAGCACTGCGGATTCTGCAGCAGCTTCGTGTAAGTGAAGCGCGGAGGGTTTGAATGGAGGAAATCTGACAATGGATGTTACACTCAGTCCCGCAGCTCCAGGGGAGAGGATTTTCTTTTGATCTGAAAATCAATTGATTCTCCACTGCCCTTGCATTGTCATTTTCTGCTCTTAGTATCACACTGCCTGCAATCACAGCTCGGGGGGAACTGGGGAGAGGGCAGCTGAGAAGAGAGGTGATTTGGGCCTGGGGGTAGCACACTGGCTGGGTGATGCTGTTAAAATGGTCAGCAGTGAATTAGTTAACAATGTGGACTTTAACTGGTCATCTTTGGGCTTGCGGAATCAATGCAGGCAAATGGGGCCAGTCCCACATCCCTCTGACCTATTGTTTCAGGCTGCCTGCAGACTCAGGCAGACCTCTCACTTCAGGTTTTCAAGGTTTCCTTTGCAATCAAGAGGGCTAAAGACAGCGTCTTACATCCCAGTTCCGACTGCAACAGACAAGGAGCTCGAATCCCTGCAGTTCCCTGCTGGGGTTCCCCTGGGGGTGCCACGAGCAGGGCGGGCAGGGGATGCCAGGCGTTGCCAGCTCACTGCAGGAATGCGGTTTAGCTGCCTTTCCTGCAGGGACAGTCAGTGTGCCCACCGGGTGCCGGGATCACCCACTGCAAGGCGTTATGTAGCATGCAGGGAGAGGGGAACCACTTGGGATCTCACCGGCTCTCCCTTGGGTCCAGCAGGTCCTGGGCTGCCTTTGCCTCCCTTGGCACCAGGGCTCCCAGGGGCTCCGTTGTTGCCTTTAGGTCCCTTTGCAAAGAAAAGAAATAGTGAGAGCGTGTCTGACGAGAGCGGACAGGCCAGCCAGCAGGGGTCACCCTGCCTCCCCTCTCCGCCCGCATGTCCCCCAGCCACACCCCTCCCCACCCAGCCACCCATACCAAACACACGCTGCCCAACATCCCCCAGCCACCCCCCTCCCCTCCCAGCCACCCACCCCCCTCCCCACCCAGCCACCCATACCAAACACACGCTGCCCAACATCCCCCAGCCACCCCCCTCCCCTCCCAGCCACCCACCCCCCTCCCCACCCAGCCACCCATACCAAACACACGCTGCCCAACATCCCCCAGCCACCCCCCCCCCCTCCCCACCCAGCCACCCATACCAAACACACGCTGCCCAGCCCCCCTGGCTCCAGCCCCAGCACAGAGCAGTGCCGCGCACTCCCCTCTCACCTAGCTAGTGCAGGGGGATCGGGCTCCGAGGGGCTTGGCTCCCCCTCCCACCAGACCTCCCTGTCTCTGTCCCTGATCAGGGAGCCCAGGGACTGTGACTGTGTCCCCCAGCCCCTGGCCCGGTGTCCCCCAGCCCAGGCACCCCTGCAGCAGCTGTGCCCTGCGCAATCGGAGTTGTGTCCTGGAGGACACGGAGGCACTGGCCTGAGCGAGGGGGCAGGACCTCTGCTAAGGCTGTGAGCTGTTCCTCCCTACGCTTTGCTTTCATGGTGCCAAAGCTCCTGCCACAGCTGCCAGTGCCAACGAATGGTGAGCGCCGGGGTTACTGCTGGGACGGCTGCACCGGGGCCCAGCACACCCGGCGAAGGGATGGGAATGAGGAGGGCCCCAAAGCAAGGGATTTGCTGGAGCGGCAGAGCCTGCGTGGCCCCCTGGGCCAGGAAGAAGAGGTTCCAGCCCCCCGGCCAGGCACCTGGCCGCAGGCACTCTTTGGCACCCCCACCACTCCCAGGTGTAACTTCCACTTTGGCTGTCGAGCGGCTGTGCAGCAGAGCACAGGTTTCCCTTCCCACTCCAGCAGCCCTGCTCCCGTATCTCCCAGCGACTAGCAGCACGGCTCCTGCTCCAAGCCACCTGGTGAGCTGCAGGAGTGTCTCCTTCAGTGCCACCTGGGGCACTGGCAGGCGTGCGCACATCCCCTGCCTGTTCCAGGTGTGAGCCCTACCCACCGGGCCGATCTCAGCTCCCAGAATGGCTGGTTCTTTACCTCGCTGGGCCATGGCCTGCGTGTTGGGGCTGCAGGTGCCCCAGGACCACTGGGTCTGTGAGTACTTTTATCTGTGGCCCCAGAGCATCACAGGCGGGTTCCAGCGGGAGGGGCCTGATCCCGGTATGGCGGGGAACTTACCCGGTTTCCCTTTTCTCCTGGAGATCCCACGGGTCCGCTGCGGCCAGGGCGGCCAGGATCTCCCTGAAACAGCAAGAGAAGAACAGTCATGAGGGACATCACCGTCCTGTTCCCCAGGGGTCCCAGCTGCTGCTCGTGGCTGATCTGTGCCCGTGGGGGAGTGAGTAACCTGAACTCCACCCTCCCCAAGAGCGAAGTGGGGAGCGCCGTCCACCTGCACTTACCCTTGACGGTGGGGCCATCACACTCCCGGCTCTGGGAGAAGTGCTCACACGAGAGTCTCAGCCAGGGCATCAGGCCAGCTCAGAACAGGGTGTGTGCGGGGTGTGTTGTGTTGTGTTGTGTTTCTTACAGCCTCCCAGGGACACAGGCAGGACTCCAGACAAGTCACCGCCTCCTCTCAGCTGGAGTCTCTCCCGTGCGCCACCTAGTGGCTGTGTCACTCCCACGGTTGTACTGCGGCCAACTCCGCGCTCACACGCACGCAACCTCTTATTCTGACAGGTCCCCAGAGGGCGCAGACAAGGGCTGGGGGAGCACAGGTGCCTTTCACGGGTCACCCGGGTGCACGCCGGGTAAAGGAAGCAGTGAAACTGAGCAACACTTTGTCAGGGGAAGTCTCCCACTTTCTCGGCGTTGCTCCATTCCCCACTGGGCTGTGTTCTCCGCGGGCGGTACTGGGCACTGCTCCGCTGTTGGGGACACGGCTGCCCCCTGGTCTGCAAGTTCTGGCTCTGGCCCGGGGATTTAAGCTCTCCCGCTTGGTGCTCTGTCCAGACTCTGCCGCTCTGCTCTCTGGTTTGAAATTCACGTACCTTTATGCCTTCGTCTCCTGGTTCTCCTTGGTCTCCTGCATCTCCTGGGTAACCATCAGGGCCCTAGGGAGGGAGAGGACAAGGAACTGTCCGCCTGCAGTAATAACAGTGTGCTGCTCTCCTCCAGATAAAACACCTCCCCTAGAAGATCACTTTGCAGGGAGAGCAGCTTCAGATACAAGAATGGCCTCAACTTGCTGCTAGTGGGAACAAAAAACAGAGGCCAGCTCTCATCACCTTGATGCTCCCCCGTGCGTTGGCAGGAGACACGAGGACACAAGCGCTCTGACACCGTGGTGTGCGTTCCACTCTGCATCAGGACAACTGGGCAGGAAGACTCACTGCTCGCGATGCAGCTCCACGGCGACAGGTAAGGCCGGGCCAAGCCCGCCCTGCTATGGTGAACTGCACCTTGGCTGATTAAGCACGAGAAAACATTCCTACCTTGTCCCCAGGGTCTCCCTTACAGCCAGGGGATCCAATCCGTCCCAGCCTGCCCTGCGGGGATTACAACAGAAAGAGGTGAGAGAAAACCTGAGAGTTAGGGGGAAAGAATTAGGAGTTTCTGTTCTATCACAGTAAATAATTGATAATTGATAATAATTGACCCACAGCTAATCACAAGGGTCTGGCCCAAGGAGGCCAGTTAGAGAAGGGACTGCAAACATCGACCTTAAACCAAAAATAGAGCACAGGCCTGGCCCTGTTTGGTGAAAGGCCTGGCAGGCAGCAGTGATGCCCTGCAGGCAGTGCGGGGAGGCAGCTTCAACGCCCCGGAGGGGGCACGGGAGTGATGCCCTGCCTATATATCAGGTCCCTTTTTCAGGCTGGGTTCTGTGGGGGCTGAGACCCCCGCAGTGCCCAGAGGTAGTGTAGAGGGAGGGCTGAAGGCTGCTCTGTGGAAGCAATGGGATAGCTCAGTGGTTTGAGCATTAGCCTGCTAAACCCAAGGTTGTGAGTTCAATCCTTGAGGGAGCCATAGGGATCAGGGCAAAAATTGGGGATTGGGGTCTTGCTTTGAGCTGGGGGTTGGACTAGATGACCTCCTGAGGTCCCTTCCAACCCTGATATTCTATGATTCTATGAAGGTGTTTGGGCAGGTACGGGAGTGGGACGGAACCTCCCCCACCCCGGGAAAGAATTCACGGATATCTTCCTGTGGTTCGTTTTCATCGATGGTAACAGCTTCTCTCCAGCCTCAGGCCTCGGGAACCCCCATCAGCTAACGACCAGAACACCGGAGCTGGACTGGGCACGGCTTGTCCCTTGTGTGGCGTTACCTTCTGTCCGTCGGTGCCGTTCCTTCCTGCCAAACCAGCTGCCCCCTGGGACCAAAGGAAAAGAAGTAATTATCTTGCTAGAGACTCTCTGAGGCTCTAAGCTGGGATAGGTGCTGCATGAAAGGTGCCTTCTTACCTTCCTGCCGTCGCCTCCAAACTCGCCCTGCGGAGAAAGGGGACAATGCGTAGTCAGCTCTGGGTACATTGCACTGCTTACCCCTCCTAATGATGACCACGTGTCCCAGGTGCCCCCCCACCCCACCTTTCTGCTCATGAAAAGTGTTTGTAAGCAGATCACCGAGTTCTCAGATTTGCTCGTTACTGGCAACCATTCAGTTATATCCTCGCAGCACCCGCTCCTCACTCCCCCGGCACAGACATGGGGCAGTTTGTTGTCAATGCGCCACACCCTGGGCCAGATCCTCAGCTGGTGTAAATTGGCATATCTGCACTGACTTCATAGGAACTACCCTGACCTACACCAGTCCTGGTCTGGCCACGTGTTGCTTAGTTGCATAAATCACATGCTGCTGTTTCTGCTCCCACATAGGATGATTTATGTAATTTACCAACATACTTTAATTTCAAATACACCTACACCCCGATATAATGCGACCCGATATAACACGAAGTCGGGTAGAATGTGGTAAAGCAGTGCTCTGCGGGCGGGGCTGTGCGCTCCTGTGGATCAGTGCATCTGGCTCTGACACGCTGCTCTGAGCGGCGTGTTAAGGGTGCCGGGCCGAGACTGAGGGGTTGGATAAGGGGCAGAGGGTCTCGGGGGGCGGTCAGGGGACAGGGAGCAGGGGGGGTTGGATGGTTCGGAGGTTCTGGGGGGCATTGGATAGGGCGTGGGAGTCCCGGGGAGCCTGTCAGGGCGTGGGGGTTTGGATAGCGATTGGGGCAGTCAGGGGACAGGGAGCGGGGTGGTTGGGTAGGGGGTGGGGTCCTGGGGGTGATTAAGGACGGGGGGGGGGTTCTGGAGGGGGTAGTCAGGGGACTAGGAGTGGTGGGGGGTTGGATGGGTCGGGGATTCTGAGGGGTCAATCAGGGGGCAGGAAGTGACTATTAATAATGGAAATGCCCGAGGCCAAAGCAAGTTCGATACAACGCGGTTTCACCTATAACAGGGTAAAAGGCTTTTTGGCTCCTGAGGACCGCGTTATATCGGGGTGGAGGTGCACTACCTTTCAATATACAATTCTGAGTTCACTGTCGATGAGTATCAGTCGTGGGAGTCTGAAATGTGCTTTGCATGTAGTAAAAGTAGCAAAGTTAAAGCACAGACGTGCTGGGGGAGAGGGCCACAAACATGGGGAGATGCCCACAATCAAGTTCCACTGTGAGCAAAATACTTGTAGAATATTCCTCCTCATTTTCCCAGCTACTGCTACGATTGTTCCCAGCCCCGTCTCTAAACATGCATTAGAAACAACGCTCCCGTGGAAATGCCCCGCTGGCCCCTTGCACAGTGCTCGCAGATCAGGATCAGAGGCTCTTTCTTACCTTCTCTCCTTTCAGACCAGGAATACCCTAGGGCAAGAAAAAACACAAAACCCTTTCTGTTAGTGTTTGTGGGCGGGCAGGTGGAGGTGGGGGAAGTGAGGGGCTCTGGGCAGGCAGGCAGACAAGTGAACTCAGAGATGCAACTATTGCAGCAAGTAGGAGATGGCCAGCTAGAATGAAGAGAGACAGGCCGAGATCCCCAGCACTCCGCACTGCTTGGTGCAGACACAGAACAGCAGTGTCTGGATCCTGATGGAGCCTTCAGCCAGTGAGTGCTGAGGGCCAGCGGCCGTCAGACCCGGCCCCTTTGGACACATGTTCATTCCCACCCAACGAACATACAGTGCCCTCCAGGAACATGGAGACTCTGCCTGTTTTATAATGATCTGTGCTGACAGGCAGTATCAGTCTCCAGGCTGGTCTCTGCCATGCCCCTCCTCAGGGCTAACCTGCGGCACCACTCGACCATCCCCTGGTGCAGTGGTGGTGGGGACGGACCTGACTGCTGAATGGAATGGGGGCCAGGAGCACGTAACACTCCCGATGTGCCCCAGGAGCCGCCCTGGCTTCCCATCCGCTTCCAGGTTCCATGCAGGGTGATGGTTCCAACCAACCCAGCCCTTTCCGGCTCTTAGGGACCTGCCTTAGGGACCAGCCATCTGCTCGAGCGCCCTCATGCGGCACAGAGCTGATGTGCAGTGGCTAGAGGCCAGGCCTATCTGGCAAAGGGCCCTGGCGGAGGAACGCTCTCTGGCTGGGAGCCTGCCTGTTTGCCAACCTGCCGGGGGCCAAAGAGGTGCCCGTTGCACTGCCAAGCAGCTACTTGAGGCTGCAGCCTTCCTGCATGTCTGAGGTGGGCTGCAGCAGTGCATGGGCTACGGGCCATCTGTCCTGTCCATGGCAGACAGACAGGAAGCCTTGTTATGACAGTGTCTTGCACCCAGCTGGCACAATGCTGCAGGCCAAAATTCGGCTGAATAGATTCGCTTCAGCAAAAATCTCCTCTCTCGTGGACGGATCCAAAGTCCCTGGGAGACAAGTCACTGACTCCGGCAGGCTGTGGGGCAGGCTGTGTGCCCTCATCCAGCCCCATGGCCTCGCAGCAGGGCTGTAAGACGCGCACTAGACTGGCAGCCACACATCACACACACGCACGCACGCCACTGCTGAATCCGAACCAGAATGCAGGCAGGCAGCTCAGCCACCGGGCGCAGGGTTCTTTACCTTGGGACCAGGGTATCCGATGGGACCTTCAATACCTGGGTCACCCTTCAAGAGAGAAGATATGGTGAGTTAGTCCAAAGTCAGTGAGTCTCCAGCTGACCCATCACGGTGCTGCTCGCCAGCGGTGGAAGGGGGATTTTACACCACTCACCTGTCGCCCTTTTAGCCCAGGACCTCCTGGTTGACCCATGTTCCCCTTCGCACCCTGCAAGTAAAGCACACAAAGAGCACCGTGACTTTTCATTCGTGGTCAGCAGAGGGCACCATGTGCTGGCCCCTCTCCCCCAGAGCCCCCAGCGGCAGAGCAGGCCCAGAGAGGAGTGGGCTGGGCTCAGCGCCGAGGAGCGCAGGAGATGGACAACCAGAGGGACAGACACACAATCTGGACTCAGAGCTCTGCTTCGGGGGGAGGGACTATGCAGCTCAGCTGGGACTAGCCCAGGGTAAAGAGCAGCCTGGCTGGGGCTGCAGTGTGCTGGGGGAGGGGTACTGCCCGGGCACCCCGGGAGTGGGGGAGCGGAAGAAGAAAGGGGCATCTGGGGAGAGAGGGAGAGTCAGGGTCAGCACAGGAGCCTGGCCCGGGGCAGCCTGCAGGTGTGGTTATGAGTGAGCCTAGAGCCCAGGGGCGGTTACTGGGCGTGGGGAGGGGTCCCCAGTTCCTTTTGTCTCCAGCACAGCGAGAGTGGGGTGGTGCTGGGTTTGTGACGCTGCAGGGGGCTGGTTTCCCTGCACCTCTCTCTGCCAAGGGGGGCCCGGCTGCAGCTGTGGGGTTTGCATCCTGCAGGCCAGCAAAGGGCTTGGCTGGTCGGTGTCATCGCCCAGTTCCAAGCCCAGCCCAGTCGAAGGACTCACCCAGCATGGCCCCTCCTGCCCACCAGGCCAGCGTCACTCACCTTCTGCCCCCGGTAGCCCTTGGGCCCAGGCGGGCCTGTGATCTCCAGACAGCTCATCTTGTAGCACTGAAATAAACCAGATTAAACATGAGGCATGGGGCAGGACGCGTGGGGAAAGCCAGGTGGAGAACCAGGCCAGGATGACAGAGGTAATGGAAACAACAGGTAGCCTTTAGGGGCCTTCAGAAGCCTAATTCTCAGTCCCCAGGTGCTGATCTTGCTGTGCCCACCGGCTAGCAAGAAGGCGGAGACTGCTGCTGCTCTGTGCATGGGCCCTGCCCTCCGCAGCCAGCCTGGGGTTTCAGGCCTGGGCCCGGCACACACTGAGTTTTGGCCTAGGGAGCGCCTGGCCTGAGGGAGCATTGGGGCTGGGATGCCGACGCTGCACCGTGTCGGTCTAGCTCCGCTCCCACAGGCCTCGAGGGAACAGCCCCATTTGTGCTGATGGGATCCGAGTGGGGCCACCAGGCAGCGTGCTGGAAAATCCCACCCTAGACTTCAGAATGGGAACCGGCCAGGAGCCCCCAAATCCTGGCCTGGCTAGGGGTAGCCCTGAGGAGCAGGGACTGTTAACGCTTAGCCTTGACTGCGCTCTGGCCTGGCTGGGTTTAAAGAGCATCTCTGCGCAGTTCTTGTGCCCTTTGGGGCCTTGTGCGGCTGAAGCTCTCCTGCGCGTCTGTGTGGGCAGATAAACGGACAGTGGGAGCATAGGTGAGGCTAGACACCAGCTGAGACAGGAAGCCGCCGAGACCCCTTTGCACGTTTTTACTCCTTTCTCCTCAGCTGGCCTGGGGACTGATCCATCGATGCTATAATGGGCGTTGCTGGTATCGAAGGGCTGGGTCTGCTGCTGCCCTCTGCTCTGGGCAGCCAGGCAGGATATCTGAGGCTATGGTCTCAGCCAGCTCTTCTCATGAAAAACTGCCACAAAGTGCCTGGAGATTTTGCCTGAGGAAGGTGGGCAGGAAAACACCATGTTCTCCCCAAGAGGTCCAAGGTGACACGAAGTGAATTCATGGAGGGGCCGCACAGCCTGTGTTATTGGAACAAAGATGTCCAAGTTGGGCCTCCATGTGTGCAGTTACAGCTGAGAGCTGGGCTGTCTCTACAGCAGGAATGCAGCCACCGACTTGCTCCAGTAGGCCTAAGGGGTCTTTATAAGAGATATAAAAGCCAGCTAAGGTACTTAAATACTATCCACACCCAGAGCTGAGCCCCCCGAGAGTTGAACAAATAAAGAAGTGAGAAAGATCTGGGCCCGAGTTGGCCTGGGCATTGAATCATTAAGTTCTTTCACTCCCCAAAGCAGTTCAATAAAACAAACCATCACAGTGGACTAAATAGCCTCATGGGAGCAGTGTCTGCCTCTTCCATCGGATGGTGATTTTGCAGCCTCCAGGGCGGTGATGCAGGCTGCTAGGTCCTGCTGCTGTTTTCTAACCCAGAATCTCATATATATATTTCCTTCCAGCCTGAAGGAGCCAGAAACATTTCACAAAACTTTACATAGGCAGAAATCACTATGCCCAGCACTGTAATGCAGCCACCTCTGGGTACACAGCAGCTGTTTATTTATGCTCAGCAAAACTAACCTGGGATTTAGGGCAGGAACTTTAACTAAAAGGCAACATGACCTTGTCCCTGACCCCACACTGAGTTCCACATGGGTGCAGGGGTCCAGCTGCATGGAGCTCAGTGCAGGATCAGGGTTACTCATCTGTGGTGCAATCCAATTTCATTGGAGTGAGCGAGCTGCGTGAAGGTGCTGTTCACTCACCTCTCCATAGGCTTCGTGTTTCTGTGAAAGAGAGCGAGAGAGAGAAAACAGATCATTTAGATAAAAAGCATGAAGAGACCTGGAGCGCCTCCCCCTCTTGGAGCTGGGCAGTCCTGGCACTCCCCATGAGGAGCAGGGAAAGCGGGAGACAGGAGTTGTATGGTTTAAAAGCACCATACAAGTAACCCAAGCAGTGGTGACTTTCAGTCCCAGGTGTGAGATACAGAGGTCCCACTACTCCGATTTCTGACACAGAGGTTGGGATCCTGTTGTCCAAGGACAAAGGCCCCGATTCTGCATATTGTTCTGTATGAGCCCAGGCCTCTGGGTGGGAGCCCAGGCCTGTTGGATGGAATAGCCTGCAGCCTGGGGCCAGAGACAGCCCCTTTCAAGAAAAGAGAAGGGCTAACTGGCTCTGTCTCCTTTTAGTTTACATGTAGGGTAGCACTTCTCACTGGTACACATTTTAAACCATAAGGAATGCAAGAGCGCACTACATTCGCCTTCCCCAGCTGGGGCCGTGGGGCCAGTCCTGCAGAGACGTGAACGTTACGCCCTGTGCAAAGCGCTGCTACAGTCAAAGGGACAGCACGCCCTGCCCAAAGCGGAGCACGTGCGTGAGCTTTGAGGAGGCAGGGCTGGGAACTGGATTGTATTGAAAGCTCTGGTCAAGTTTTGCCCCTGTGTTTTCAGTGAGTGACAGTGAAAGGCAAGGTCTTGGCCCCTTTTCCCAGTTACTGGTGGTTAGGAACAGAGAGTGTTTGTCACTGCAGCTTTGTCCTTTGACATGTTCTAGCCCTTGTCACCCCAGGGTCTGGGCACCTCACAATTGGTACTGGACTCCCCCCCCCCCCCCCGAGCAGGGCAGGGCTCTTGTCCTTATTGTACAGATGGGATCGGAGGCACAGAGAGGCGAAGTTACTTGCCCAAGGTCACACAGCAAATCTGGGCCAGAGCCAGGACTTGACCCCCACAGCTCTCCCAAGTCCTGGGCTAGTGCCCTCACCACGGGGCCATCCTTCCCCTCCGTTGCAGTGTGTGATTTCAATGGAGTGACTCCCATGCTGAGTGTTCAGCACAGACATGAGCGTTTGCAGGACAGGCCTTCGAGTGCTATTATGCCAATAAGGTTTTAAAGGATGGATTTATGTCAGACAATACTTGGATAGAACAAAACATCCATGAACTTAATTATGCCATGTTGCGGCAGCCTGTTGGTCCCAGGCTATTAGAAAGACAAGGTGGGTGAGCGAATAGCTTTTATTGGACCAACTTCTGGTGGTGAGAGACAAGCTTTTGAGCTCAATATTACCTCATCCACCTTCTCTTTCTCATAGACTTTGTTTGCCAAGATTTTTTTTTAAAGTGGTCCTAAACTTAGGCTCCTAATTCATTATTTGGGCATTTGAATGAGTTTCCTGGGTACTTGGCACTGATGAAAAGCAGGTGTTTCCATTGAAAATAAGGGCTGTTGCTATGAGTTGAAGTGGATTGTAAGACTGGTTCGTTGAGGGACAAATCTCAACGAGCCTTTATAGACCCCAGGGGCCAGCCTGCCCAGGGGCCAGCTGTGCCCAGGGGCTGCTCCCCCAGACCAGGTTCCCCCCTCTCAGCCCCCTGAACTCCCCTGGAGGGTGCACAGCCCCTCCGCGAGCCCTCCCCACCCCTGCCCTGAGTCCACTCACTGGCTTTGCCGGGCTTGGGCCGATGCAGCAGCTCGGCAGGGAGGAGCCACCTTCCGGAGGCACCGGAGAGCCAGAGTGCCCACTTGCGGGGGCGGCGAGCCCCAGCCACAGAGGAGCCGGCGCAACGCAGGGGGGGCAGCAGCCCTGCAAAGGCCGCGCCCCCTGCCCCTTCTGCCCCGGCTGCAGCCTGGCCCCCCCCTGGGGGCTCCTGCAGGCTGCAGTGGATGCATGCGGGCGCCAGCCCCCATGAGCCCCCTGGCTCCTCCCTCGCCTAGGGTTACCATATTTCAACAATCACAAAAAAGGATTGGGGGGGGGCCCTTCCCTAGCCCCACCCCATTCACTCCCTCCCACTTCCCACTCCCTGACTGCCCCCCTCAGAACTCCCAACCCCCCCCGCTCCTTTTCCCCTGACTGCCCTCTCCTGAGACCCCCCCCCCCACCCTAACTGCCCTCCTAGGATCCTACCCACTACCTGTCCCCTGACTGCCAACTCTTATCCACACCCCCGCCCCCAGACAGACTCCCACGCCCCATCCAATCACTCCCCACCCCCTCACAGCCCCCCCAGAACTCCTGACCCATCTAACCACCGCCCCCGCCCTCTGCCTGCCCCCCGGCCGGGATCCCCCTTACCATGCCCATGCTGGTCAGACGCCGGCTCCACGGGGGGCAAAGACGCTGCCGGGCTGCCGCACCCACCGCCCCTCCCCGCAGGGTGCCGAGGCAGCGGGAGCCGCCGAGCCCGAGCGCGGCGAGGGGGGAGCCAGGGGGCGCACGGGGGCTGCTGCCCACATGCATCTGCTGCAGCTTGCAGGAGCCCCCGGGCGCGGCTGATCCCCTCTAGCGGCACCGCTGCCTTTGCGGGGCTGCTGCCCCCCTGCGCCTCGCTGGCTCCTCCATGGCTGGGGCTCGCCGCCCCCGCAAGCCGACGCTCTGGCTCTCCGGTGCCTCCGGAAGGCGGCTCCTCCCTGCCGAGCCAGGGCACCGCTTTCTGGCGCCCCCAATCATCTGGCGACCGCCTAGTGGTTGCACCAGCCCTGGGTCTTCCCAAGCATGCAGAGAGACCGACAGCATCTGTCCTCCTCAGGTCACTGTGAGCTGACCTTTTCATCCCACGGGGGCAAGAACTCCGTGAAGTGTCAGCCTGGCTAACTACTTCATAGAATACCAGGGTTGGAAGGGACCTCAGGGGGTCATCTAGTCCAACCCCTGCTCAAAGCTAGGGACAATCCCCAATTTTTGCCCCAGATCCCTAAATGGCCCCCTCAAGGATTGAACTCACAACCCTGGGTTTAGCAGGCCAATGCTCAAGCCACTGAGCTATCCCTCCCCCCTAAAATTGTTTTAAATGTCTTGGACCATTGTCTTCTAGCTATAGATAACATTTGGCCTTAATTCTCCTCCTGCCGCCTACCATGAATCATACAATCTCAGGGTTGGAAGGGACCTCAGGAGGTCATCTAGTCCCACCCCTGCTTAAAGCAGGGCCAATCCCCAGTGTTTGCCCCAGATCCCTAAATGGCCCCCTCAAGGATTGAACTCACAACCCTGGGTTTAGCAGGCCAATGCTCAAGCCACTGAGCTATCCCTCCCCGTGCTGAGCTATCCCTCCCCTTCATTTCACTCCAGCAGAGACATCCTGCTCCGAGGGGTTGTGGGAGGGATTTAGGATTGGGGGTGGAGCTTCTTTTCATCCTGACTCCTATACCGAATAGAGGGAAACTGACAGCAGTGGAGACTCTGCCGTTCCCAGAGTGACAAAATGCCGGTTTCAGGAGCTAACCTTCCTCACCCAGGAGAGCTACCGGCGAACTGCAGATCGACTGTTTACATCCCCTCCTCCCACAAAGAGGTGTTGGCACCAATTCTAACATTATGAAGTAATTCACCATAAAACTGGTGGCTCAAGTCTTGCTTACGAGGGTTCTAGGATATACGGAGGGAACACAGACGTGGCGATGATAACTGGCAATGACGTGGTCCATCAGAATCTCTCTCCTTGGGATGAACTGTCCGGAGGGGGGCAGGATCTGACACAAGCTTCCCCCCAAAATATTTACTATCAGCTTATTAAACTGTGTGCGCCAGCTGCTTCAATGGTGCTCAATGTCCGGGCCAGGCCTGGTTTGCATGCGCCTTTTGTACGGATTCACCCATGCTGCTAACAGGTGGGAGGGTTAAAGTGGTACAGCTGGCTAGTGTGGAAACAGTTCTACTGGTATAAAGCTGCTTATACCAGTATAGCTTATCCTCCTCATTCCCCTGCGGAGTAAGGCTTGGTCTGCAATTAAAAGTCATGTCGGCATAGCTACAGATGTGAAAAAACGCACCCCGACAGCCGACCGTGCAGACGCAATTATGTCGCCAGAAGAGCACTTCTGTCGACGTGGCCAAGGTTGCTTGGGGAGGTGGCGTCCCTGCACGGACAGAAAAGCTCCTTCTGTTGGTGTAGGTTGTATCTACACAAGAAGGCTACGCTGGTGTAGGCCCCATAGCACACACATAGACTAAGTGGTACTGACATAAGCACTTTAATCCTGGTATAACTGCATCCACTTGGGGTTTTGCTGGCTTATCTGGACCAGTACAGTCAGAGCAGTACAACTTTTGTGTATAGACAAGCCCCTGGATCGCCTGCCCTTGGTCCCCAGTGCCTCTGTCCCAGCAGCCCACTCTGACAAGATCTCTATTGCATCCCTACACGTGTCACATCAGCCTGACCCTGCACCCTCTGGTGCGAGCCAACGTCCCTTACCATGACTTGGATAATCCGGTCGATGGTGTCCTCGTCCACCTCGATGGCACCTCTCTTGGTAGTGGCATAGTTATTGCGGTACAGCTCGTGGGGGAGGTTGGCGATCTCCCGGAGACCCGGCTCGAAGATGTTCTGGCTGGGGGCCACTGCAAAGAGCTTGATCCCTGCATCCCGGGCCTTCTCAGCCTGCATCTTCATCCCGCCACAGGGGCTGCCTGTCACATGGCCGTCGGTGATGACCACAGCGAATTTTACGGCAGGGACTGCATGGCTCATGATCTGCTCGGTCATTTTGGAGATCGCGCAGTCTGTGAACGTGCCCCGACCAATGTAGTTGATGGCATTCAGCCTGGTGAGGTACACGTCCTTGCTGTTGGTCAAGGTGCTGTAAATCTGCACCACGTCTGAGAAGTGAAGTCCCCAGAAATTCCATGTGATGGAGACCTGGTTCTGGTAGACCTCGGTCTCCAGTTTACTGATGAAGGCCTGGATGAACTGCTTCATATGATCCACCAGGCTCTGGATCGGCACAGTCTGCAGGGCAATGCTTTCCGAAGTGTCAATGATAAAGTACACGTTGATGGGGCAGTCGGTCTTCTCTGTGTGGAGACAACGGGGCAAATAGCATCAGAGTGGGATGGAGTGCGCCCCTCTGGCACCAGACTGGGCAGGTACAAACCCCGCAGAGCAGTGAGCACACGACACAGACCTACCCCTTCTGCACAAGGAACACCCCTGGAGGTGCTTATAGTGATGGCTCCTGGAAATGGCTATTGGTTAGAAACCACATCATAAGAACATAAGAACGGCCAGACTGGGTCAGAACAAGGATCCACCTAGCCCAGTATCCTGTCCTCTGACAGTGGCCAATGGCAGGTGCCCCAGAGGGAATGAAAACAACAGGTCATCATCAAGTGATCCATCCCCTGTCACCTATTCCCAGCTTCTGGCAAACAGAGGCTAGGGACACCATCCTGGCTAATAGCCATTGATGGACCTATCCTCCATAAATTTATCTAGTTCTTTTTTGAACCCCGTTATAGTCTTTATCAGAGGTTGTTGCGAAGGTCAATAAATATTTCCTTTTGTTTATTTTAAACCTGCTGCCTATTCATCTCATTTCATGACCCTTCCCAGTTCTTGTGTTATGAGAAGGGGAAAACAACACTTCCTTATTTACTTTCTCCACACCAGTCCTGATTTTATAGACCTCTAGCATATCCCCCCTTAGTTATCTCTTTTCCAAGCTGAAAAGTCCCAGTCTTATTAATCTCTCCTCATACGGAAGCTGTTCCATATCTCTAATAATTTTTGTTGCTCTTTTGTTGAAACTTTTCCAATTCCAATGTATCTTTTTTGAGATGGGGCAACCACATCTGCACGCAGTATTCAAGATGTGGGCGTACCATGGATTTATATAGAGGCAATATGATATTTTCTATCTGCTTATCTATTCCTTTCTTAATGATTCCAAACATTCTGTTTGCTTTTTTGACTGCCGCTGCACACTGAGTGGATGTTTTCAGAGAACTAATCCACAATGACTCCAGGATCTCTTTCTTGAGTGGTAAAAGCTGACAGGTGCGGAGGAGCACGTGGTTCGGATAGAGACATCCCTTAGAGAATCTCCATTAAGAGATCCTCCCCTATATCCTAGTCAAGAATAGAGGATGGAAGACAATAAAATATGGGTAGGATCTGATGAGAAACAGTCAAATGAAAAAAAGTCCCATTCAATTACATCATGTAATGGCAGACAGCTAAAAAGTGACAAGCTTTTAAAGTGTTTATATACCAATGTTAGAAGTCTAAATATTAAGATGGTGAAGTAGAGTGCCCCGTATTAAATGAGGATATTGATATAACAGGCATCACAGAAACTCGGTGGAATGAGGATAATCAATGGGACACAGTAATACCAGGGTACAAAATATATCGGAAGGACAGATCAGGTCTTGCTGGTGGGGGAGTGGCTCTATATGTGAAAGAAAGCGTAGAATCAAATGAACTAAGAATCTTAAATGAACCAAACCTGTACCATACAGTCCCTCTGGATAGTAATTCCATGCTCGAATAATAAGAATCTAGCACTAGGGGTATATTACCGACAACCTGACCAGGATGTTGATAGGAACTGGGAAATGCTCAGGGAGATTAGAGAGATAAAGTTTCTTGACACCTTAAATGACTGCTTCTTGGAGCAGCTAGTCCTGGAACCCACAAGGGGAGAGGCAATTCTTGATTTAGTCCTAAGTGGAGCACAGGATCTGGTCCAAGAGGTGAATATAGCTGGAAAGCTTGGTAATAGTGACCATATAATTAAATTTAACATCCCTTTGGCAGGGAAAACACCACAGCAGCCCACCACAGTAGCCTGCCACAGTAGCATTTAATTGCAGAAAGGGGAACTACACAAAAATGAGGAAGTTAGTTAAACAGAAATTAAAAGATACAGTGCAAAAAATGAAATCCATGCAGGCTGCATGGAAACTTTTTAAAGACACCATAACAGAGGCACAACTTAAATGTTTACCCCAAATTCAACATAGTAAGAGAACCAAAACAGTGCCACCGTGGCTAAACAACAAAGTAAAAGAAGCAGTGAGAGGCAAAAAGGCATCCTTTAAAAAGTGGAAGTTAAAGCCTAGTGAGGAAAATTGAAAGGAGCATAAACTCCGGCAAATGAAGTGTACAAATATAACTAGGAAGACCAAAAAAGAATTTGAAGAACAGCTAGCTAAAGACTCAAAACTAAGAGTAAAATTTTTTTAAGTACATGAGAAGCAGGAAGCCTGCTAAACAACCAGTGGGGCCACTGGATGATGGAGACACTAAAGGAGCACTCAAGAACAGTAAGACCATTGCAGAGAAACTAAATGAACTCTTTGCATTGGGCTTCACGGCTGAGGATGTGAGGGAGATTCCCAAACCTGAGCCATTCTTTTTAGGTGACAAATCTGAAGAACTGTCCCAGATTGAGGTGTCATTAGAGGAGGTTTTGGAAAAAAATGATAATCTAAACAGTAATAAGTCACCAGGAGCAGATGGTATTCACTCAAGGAGTTCTGAAGGAACTCAAAAGTGAAATTGCAGAACTACGAACTGTAGTCTGTAACCTATCATTTAAATCAGCTTCTGTACCAGATGACTGGAGGATAGCTAATGTGATTCCATTTAAAAAAAAAAATCTCCAGAAGCAGTCCCAGCAATTACAGGCCAGTAAATCTGACTTCAGTACCGGCAAACTGGTTGAAACTATAGTAAAGAACAATATTGTCAGACACAGAGATGAACATAATTTGCTGGGGAAGCGTCAACGTGGTTTTTGTAAAGGGAAATCATGCCTCACCAATTTACTAGAATTCTTTGAGGGGGTCAAAAGGCATGTGGACAAGGGGGATCAAAGCAGACAGACAAAGGGGGATCAAAGCAGACTGCAAAGAGCTACAAAAGGATCTCACAAAGCTGAGTGACTGGGCAACAAAATGGCAGAGAAAATTCAATGCTGATAAATACAAAGTAGTGCACATTGAAAACCATAATCCTAACTATACATATACAATGATGGGGTCTAAATTAGCTGTTACCACTCAAGAAAGATCTTGGAGTCATTGTGGATAGTTCTCTGAAATCATCCACTCAATGTGCAGCGGCAGTCAAAAAAGCGAACAGAATGTTGGGAATCATTAAGAAAGGGATAGATAAGCAGACAGAAAATATCATGTTGCCTCTATATAAATCCATGGTACGCCCACTTGAATACTGCGTGCAGATGTGGTCGCCCTATCTCAAAAATGATATATTGGAAAAGGTTCAGAAAATGGAAACAAAAATTATTAGAGGTATGAAACAGCTTCCGTATGAGGAGAGAATAATAAAACTGGGACTTTTCAGCTTGGAAAAGAGACGACTTAGGGGGGAGATGAGAGACGTCCATACAATCATGCCTGGTGTGGAGAAAGCAAATCAGGAAGCGTTATTTACTCCTTCTCATAACACAGGATGGGCAGGGATGGTGTCCTAGCCTCTGTTTGCCAGAAGCTGGGAATTAGGCAACAGGGGGTGGATCACTTGAGGATTCCCTGTTCTGTTCATTCCCTCTGGGGCACCTGACATTGGCCACTGCTGGAAGACAGGATTCTGGGCTTGATGGACCTTTGGTCTGTCCCAGTGTGGCCGTTCTTATGCTCTTAACAGCTAATTTTGACCCCCATCATTTTATATGTATAGTTAGGATTAAGTTTTCCAATGTGCATTACTTTGCACTTATCAACATTGAATTTCATCTGCCATTTTGTTGTCCAATCACCCACTTTTGTCTACACTGGGCTTTGTCTACACTGACTTCTTAGAATGGGTCTGGGAGGGAGGTGTGGGGAGGGTCTCAATGGTAACAAAGAACGTACACACAAACTGGGCCCACCATACTATCTACAATGGCATCCCACCTCCCCCACACATACCCACTCGGTCCCTGCCCCCCGCATCTGTCAAGTCTGAGCCAGTATCTGCCTCTCTCATTCATGTGCGACAGGACAGGTTTACTTCCCGACACCTGACATGGATCTTGCTTCCTTTCTAAAAGCCGGGGAGATTCCCCCACCCCTCCAGACTGAGCTGCTCATGCCCAGACATCCGTGCCCCAGCTCATCCCTCAGAAATGGGAGCTGCATGTCTGCCCTGCCCCACCCACAGGGCGAGGAAGCTCCTCGGGGCTTGGTACTTTTCAGCCAGCGTAAAGGAGCAGTGAGCTCTGAGATGCCACGGTGTGGCCCCTCTGAGCAGCCTTTAGAACTGAACCCAGGGGAGTTTTCAATGTTAATGCTAAATACAGAGGACAGAGGCAGAGAGACAAGTTTTCCTGCTGGTACCTGGACAGGCAGTTGGGCGAAGACTGAAGGTTGTGTCATAGTCCTCATCAAACTGAGCCTGGAGGGGAACCAGCGTCATGCAAAGAAGAACGGCAAAAAAGGCCAGCTGGGACATCTCGGCCAGGCCACTTCGCATTCAGCTTCCTGCAGGAGAACAAACCGAGCCCAGGAGTCAGTCAGGGTAATCAGCCACCGGAACAATTTACCAAGAGTTGGGCTGGACTCTCCCGACTGGACATTTTAAAATCAGGAGCAGATGTTTCTCTGACAGCGCCCTCGTCTAAACAGGAATGAATCCCCAAAGTCGCCTGGCCTGTGCTCTGCAGGAGGGCAGACTGGATGATCACAGTGCGACCTTCGGGGCCTGGAATCTACAATTCACAGCACGGGGCAATGCTGGTAGTGACCCACCAAGCAAAGTGCTCTCTGCGCAGGCCAGAGCGCGGCTCCACCCCCATTCATCGCAGAGTGGCTGTACCTCGGGGACTCTCAGTTAGGTTTCAGGTCTGACTAGTCCAGCTACGTTATTTTAAACGCCCCTCTTCTTGGAGTGTGGCTGGGAGTTGTTTTTAAGTGGCTTTTACCTTATGCCAGATGGGCGGTTGCTTCCCCAGCCCATGTTGCTCCCAGGGATGGGGTCTGGTGGCCAGCGCAGCAATGTGGGAGTCAGGCTGTCCCGACTGCACTGACTCGCTAGGTTCACGCTGGTTCCACCAGCATCACGCCATTGGGTCCAGCAAGGCTATTCCTGACTCACAGGGATGTGAGATCAGCATCAGAGCCATTGTCTGGCCGCATGCCAGTCACTGAACCACTGTGCCTTTCTCTCCTCTCCTGGGAATCAGGATCCCATGCCATAGCTTCCTGCCTGCCAGCAGGACGCTGAGAAAACACAGTCATGTCTGCAAAGTGCTTGAGGGGCTCGGATGAGAGATGTGCCAAGCATTCCGAGACCCCCAAATCCTCCAGTATTACCCCTCAGCCCTTTTGGGCCCCATCCTGAGCCCCAGGACTGTAGCCAGCATTCAAAGAGCATCTGCCTATTAAAGAAATACTTAAGCTGTGCTCGCAAAGCGAAATCAGCGCCCCGTTTGTTTAGTTTGCAGGAAAGGGCCAGGTTCCCTCTGACATCCAGCTGCACTCAGAGCACCAAGGACTTGGAGTTGGCTCAAGAGGCAGAAAAAGTGCAGCGAGGGTCTGCAGGCTCCTAACAGCTCCCAGGCTTCCATGGGGTCTCAGCAGCCCCCGGGCCGAACGGTCATTTCTAGGCAAGAGAATCCGAGGTTCCCAGCAACAAAGACAGGTGAGGATTACAGCCCTGGAGGACGATGTTGCTGTGCAGTCTGGGGCCAGTCATTGGAGCACAGGCTGGATCAAGAATTAGCTGATTATCCCTGGGCCCCCCATGGCAATTTGCTGCCCCCTACTGGAGAAACCAAGGAGGGGATGGGCATGGTGAGAGATTGCTGGAAGGGCGAGAGGCAGAGGGCTGCACTCGCTGAGTGGGGTGGGGAAGCTCCGCCAGCCACGGCCTCTTCTGCATCAGGAGGAATGATGCTACTGGAAGAGTAGGGCTGGCTTGGAGCTGCTGGTGTGTACCCAGAGCCCTCTCTCCTCTGTGCCCCCCAAGAGCCCCCGGGCAAACCACCTGGCGTTTGCAACCAGAGGTTTCCTCTGGGACTGGCCTGCTCCCATCAAGAGTCGCTGTATGAGCAGCAGTTAAAGCAGCCGGGGTCCTTACCCCATCTCAGCTCCCACCCACCCCTGCCCCATCTCCCGTGGTACCATTCCATCTGCTTCCCCCAGCCTCCCATGGGGGCAGCGTGTTTCCCAGGCCCACATGCCAACAGGACCGCCGGTCACTGGCTAGGCGCTGTCCCCTGCCTTCCCCCCGGATCCCGTGGAGGGTTCTCTGCTGAGTCCAGGATCCACATGGAGGTAGTGGGCAGTTGGGGAGGTGTGTGTGAGCGGGGGGAGTGGGGGACGACGGACGGACATACTGACCGTCCTCCAGGCAGCCCCGCAGACAGGTGCCCAGGGAAGGTCGTATTGCCTGGACAGTATTGCCTACTCTGGCCCGCGTAGGGCGTCCTGGGCAGCCTGGCATGATGGGGAGTGGCCTCCTACTGATCTCATGGGCCTGCGGGGGCTGAAGGAGTGACTCAGCAGAGTCCATGAGGGGACCCTCTCAGAGCTTCCCCCGACCTCCCCTCCTCCAGAGTCTGGGAGTCAGAAGTGTGATGTCCCTGCTGGTGATAGAGACAGGAGGGAGCAGCCCTGGGACTCGCCAGGCCTGGCTTCATGTCCACGCAGCGGACGCGGAAGGCCCCAGCCTGTGCTGTGACCCTCTCCCTGCACGTGGTTCAGGCCTCACCTCAAGCGATCTATGGAGACTTGAGGGAGCGCGTGCAGGAGCGATGCACAGGAGCGAGCCCAGGAGCTCACCCATCCGCACCTGTCCTAGGTTGCTCTGTTTGTTTGCAGCACGCCCTAATGGCCAAGCAGTGGCCTGGCAAGGACAGTGGCCGTGCAGGAGACTGCTAGTTCTGCGCTTGCAGGCAGAATGGAAAGACACCTCTCCCTCCCCTGAACTCCTCCCCCACAAGTCTTGTTGCACATGGTGAGATCATTCAAATCATTTGTCCCTGCTGCCCTTTCCTACAACAGAAGGGAGACTCTGGCTGGTGGAGTGTGGAGTCCAGTGAAATGTGGTAGTAATCTCACAATGAGGGGTACAGATTCCCTCTGCTCACAGACCAGCGGGACACCAACCAGCAGACATGACAGACCTTCTGTCCCATCCTTGAGAGTGGAGACAGCCTGCAGATCCCCTAGCACACCAGAAGGGCCAGCTCAGTTCCCCAGAACCTCCCTGCATAGCCAGGGTCCCCCATATCACTCTGGTCCACTCTCTCACCTGCTGATGCTCCCAGCTCTCACAGTTGGGTATCCCCATCTTGTGTACCTCCTACACTGAAGATCTACTTGGCATCCCTGAGGGAGTCCTGAGTATCTCACTTGCCTGAGGTGCCCCTAGCAGGCCTGAGCAAACCAGTCCCGGCCCCAGTGTCTGGGCTAACACTGTATGGAAGAAGCGGAGTTAATGCCATGAAATGTGTTTCGCCTACAGGAAGAGAGCTATTCCCATGTGCATCATCTCACCAATGGCAAATGTACAGTAATGTTTCACACTCCGTATTCCTGCTCGGAGAACCACCCAGGCCCATGGTTTTCATGGCAGTGGCTATGGGTTGTGTTGAGTGTGTGGAGAAGCAGGAATATGTGATCTCGGGGTACAACCCTGACACCTGTGCCTAGGTCTGCAGTCACAAAGGCAGCCTCCGCTCTAGCTCTGTCCAAGGCACTAGGGTTTCTTCTGAAAATCAAGTAAGATAAGACTAGGAGAAATCTGTGCCTCCATCTGTAAGAAATGCCCAGGCAGATGCCTGCCTTCTGCCCTCAGGCACACACAGGCCGGGCTCACTCAGGGCAGGTGCCAGTCGTTTCAGTGTGTGTCAAACAATCTGCTTAGATCTTTCCCTTAGTGCTCAGTTGTCGGTTCCCAGGCAGATCGCCCACTATAAAGGCTTCCCCTCCATTGCCTGGCACCCAGCTGTACCACGTCTATCCTACTGCAAACAACACAGGACTTCAACCAGCACAGATAGCACGGGAAGGAGGCGGCAAGAGGCCTGGAAATGTCATTTTGTGAGGGAGGAACAATCTCAGCCTGGTTGCCATTTTCACTTGTGCAGACACGGCACCTCTTCCAGGGCTGGCTTATACTGCCCTGTTAGCCACCGCCATCAGCGAACGGCTGGCATCACAGTACCAGCAACCCAGCCACATGCACAGCTCAAGTGGCGAGCATGAAATCAGAGTGCACTCCCTAAAACCACCAGCCCGAACAAAGCAAGTTATGCGCACTCTAGCAACAATCCTGAGCCCCGGTCAAATCCTGCCGGTTACCTCTTTGCAGAAAACAGGCACGCTGGTGAAATTCAGCAGAACAAAACACCCGATTTCTGTGGGGCGCAAAGAGGATCTTGTACTCGTGTGTGGTTGAAAGTCCAAGAGCCGCCCTTGGGTCTAATAATTCAGGCTTTGTAGCAGCATCAACATTCTGGTGCTGCTACAGTCGGCCAAGTTTGTCCCTCAGGTAACGCCGCTGGCTTCAGTGGAGTTACACTAGGGATTAATTTGGCCCAACAAGTTTTACAGTGACTGACTAGCCCCTTGGCCCTGATGCCTGAAACTTGAGTTCCTATACAAGGGACTGCAGACTGTAGAATCTCTCCCAAAAAGCTTTCCTTCAGAAAGCTACCTCATTAACAATTATTCTAATCCTAAGGGAGTTTGTTGCCCAAAACATCCACACATGTAAATCCCTGAACTATCGAGCAGCTCAGAGAGATAAGTGAAATATCCGTCTGTTTACTGTGGCTAGTCTCTGAAAGCAACAACATGCCTAAAAAGTCTCCTGTATCAATCGATCAAGAGTTCACAACAGCCAGCAGCACTGGATGGATTATACGCTCAAACACAACCTGGAGATAAAAAAGGTTAGTTTCCCTGTTCACGTCTGCAGCAGCTTCAAAAGAAGCAGGAAGATTTGTGGAGATATTAAATGGTGAAGCAGGAGTCTTTGCCTACCTGAAAACAAGACTGAAGTTTCCTCCAGAAAGTCAAATCGGGAAAATTTCTTGGAATCTTTGTGTCAATAGGGCTTCTGCATCTTCCGTTGGAAGGGTTGGATTTCTTTTCTTAGAGTTTTTGGTGTCTATTTTTGATGAAGAGAAGGGATCAGTTGGGAGTGGCAGTGGCTTCTCCAGCCGAGAGCCTCTGTTCTCTGGCAAAAAAGAAACTGCCTACTTTATAATTCTCCTCCTTCAACTCGGTCTGTGACAGGGGCCAAAGACGTCCTTACTCCGAGTATCCACAGGGTGTCACTGCGCATCCATCGAAGCCCCACTAGGCGAGGCTGGGGAGAGGGAATCGCCCTCCAACCCCCACTCCTTTTCCTGGGGGGTGTCTGGAGTGGGGTGGGGGGGAAGTTGTAATGTTGCAGTTAGGAGATTTTTAAAAACAAAACGGAAGAGGAAATCATATTTTTCCAAGCACAGGAGCTGTCTCTGTGCCTGCCACATGGATTTCCACCACTCACTCATGTTACTCCTCTTCCCCCTGTTTGTAACCTATCTTGAGAAGAATGCATAAAATGGACGGGCACATTTCAAAACAGGATGGCCTCAGACTTCAGCTTCCCACAGACTTCACAAATATTCACCTCTTACTCAGGGACCCTGGCAACCTCCTGGCCAGGAAAACGGCCTGATCCAACCCCCATTAATGTCACTAATGCAAAGACAAACACAATAGGGTGAATGGCAGCGCCAGCGTCCCCGCATCGTCCTGTTCCCTCCCCACCCATGTACACTGCCCTGAACTGACCTCCCAGTCTAGGGGTGGGGGACCAGGTCACTCTCCAAACCCATTCAGCCCTTGGCCTCTCGGAGGGATCTGCCAGTCGCGGTGCTGGGTTTGTAGCCTGTGCGTAGCTCTCACAGGCTGCACCCCGTTGGGTTCCAAGTACAAGCCAGACCCGCCATTCCAATGAATACCCATGTTACTATTTGTTTTCCTAATCTGAATTTTGCTGCTTTTCTGCTATTGTAACTGCTCCATGCCCAATGTGCCCCATGCATTTCAGTTCAACAGGCTAGCAGTCCTGATTTACTGATGAGTCATTCACTCCGCAGTACTGGACATGGAAAAGCCACACATGGAAAAAGAGCCCTTGCATGTAATTTTCCAATTATTTTCCATATACTTATGTGGTTCTCAAACTGTGGTGTAGGGACTACCAAAGGTCACAGAGCCCTTCCTGGTGGTCCACGGAATGGAATATTTGAGAACCAAGCAGTGAGGTGGGCAGCTGGCTCATGATAAAGTCTTTCTTTCCCAGAATGCTCTGCAGAGTGGAAAACTTGGAGAACCCTGGAGGCAGGACTTAGGGTACAGTCATATATGGGCAGTTTCCTTTTGTGAAGCACATATGGTATGAAATGAAATATGCTTGAAATAATAATAAAAATAAGCAACAACAACAAGGAATGTGAATTTAGAATATAAATGTGCTACTCTAACTTTTCCAAAGCTGTAGAAATCTTGAGAAATTACAGAGTGGAAAAAGGGGGGAAAGAAGAAAAGAAAAGAAGTAAACCGCAAGATATAATTCATTCTATGGCATTCAGTAGTGGAAAACAGAAAGGAGAAAACATAAACATCCAAAATTTTCAAGGTTTTCAGTTTTCGAAAATTGCATCAAAATAAAAACTGTTTCAAATTTTTCCAGCAAAAATTGAAAGTTTAAGCCAAAACATTTCAGACGAATGAATCTTTCAACCAACTCTCGGATAGATTTTCATGACTCCCTACCCATCTGGTATCTGACTCATTAGATACCATAAGAAATATACTCAGTCCACACGTGTACAATGTAGGCCAAATTCTACTCTTGGGGTATGTCATCAGGATCCCAGCAAGGATAGTCAGGAACAAGGGTTAGAGCAGGGCCAAACCTGAGGCAGGGAGTAGTGGAGGAGTTCTTAGTCAGGTTCCAGGCTGGGGTCAATACCAAAGGTCAGAGGCCAAGTCAGGTTTCAGGGTTCAGCTTAGGAAGCAGAGTCCAAATCAAGCCAAGGTCAAAGTTCAAGACCAGAAGTGGTCATGACAGCTACAGGAGATCTGCACTGTTGTCTGGACACTTCCTGGAATGCCCCTTGGGTTTATATAGGGCAGGGAGCCAATCAGGAGCCATGAGGCCACTGCCTGTCAGACCCCTTGAGGTGGGACTTCCCATGATCTGTGTCCACAGTGGGTCAGAGGTAGTGGAGTGCAAGCTGGTTACAGCTGCTGCTAGGTGGCAGCTCTGCAGGTTCGAGACCCCGCCCCAGCCCTTACAATGCCTATGCTGCAATCACAGCTTTAATGTAGCCAGCTCAGGTACTGGAGCGGTGAAGCCACAGCGGCATGGTCTTCAGTACGGGTGGTACAAGCCTGCCTGGATCGTTGGTAATTACTTCAGGAGCTAGCCATGCTGCCGCAGCTTCACAGCTGGCTTCGGGCGGTCTATGTGAGCTGCAGTCACGCCCCAGGGCTGGAATGTAGACATACCCATTGGTGGAAAAGGGAAATCGTTTCATGGAGGTAAGTGTCATTACCCCAGATTCACAGCAGCGTGGCGGAGTGTGCAGCTTAGCATGGTACGTCTGTTCCATCACATTGTATGAGGGATGGCTTTGCCTAGATGCATTAGAAAATAAACGATAAATTACCCGGGACCCTCTTGAGAGCCCTGATCCTCACCGCTAGCCCAGCTCTGCTTCATCCTGTCATGCCCCTGGGCTGCTTGAAATTGTACTGGCTCCTAATGGCCCCCAGGGAGCTTTACCCAGCCAGCGCTACACCTCCCAGGATTCCTGCCTGCAGAAGGACTCTGCAGCTGCCAACATAGGGAACCCTCTGGCCCTCAGAGTGTGCAGTCGTGCGGCTTTGCATGGTAGCAGTGAGATGACTTCGAAGCGCACTGTATATTTAAGTGTAGGATAGTATGCAAGTGTGCTGACGCTGGCCCTAGGGGCACAGAGTCACAGGACTGGAAGGACCTCGAGAGGTCTTCTAGCCCAGTCCCCTGCACTCATGGCAGGGCTAAGTATTATCAGTCTGTGCCTGACGGGTGTTTCTCAACCTGCTTTTAAAAATCTCCAATGATGGAGATTCCACAACCTCCCTGGGCAATTTATTCCAGGGCTTCACCACCCTGACAGTTAGGAAGTTTTTCCAAATGTCCAACCTAAACCTCCCTTGCTGCAAAGTAACCCCTTTGCTTTTTGTCCTGTCCTCAGAGGTTAAGAACATTTTTTCTCCCTCCTCCTTGTATCAACCTTTTATGTACTTGAAAACTGTTCTCATGTCCCCTCTCAGTCATCTCTTCTCCAGACTAAACAAACCCAGTTCTTTCAATCTTTCCTCACAGCTCATGTTTTCTAGACCTTTCATCATTTTTGTTGCTCTTCTCTGGACTTTCTCCAATTTGTCCACATCTTTCCTGAAATGTGGCACCCAGAACTGGACACAATACTCCAGTTGAGGCCTAATCAGCACAGAGCAGAGCGTAAGACCTGCTTCCCGTGTCTTGCTTACAACACCCCTGCTAATACATCCAGGGGTGAAAGTAAGTCTAGGGACTTACCGGTACGGGGCTGGGCTGGGGCCGGCTCTGAACCCCGGAAGGGGCGGAGCCTCGGGTGGAAGGGGCGGGGCTGGGGGAGGTCAGAGCCAGCCCCGGCCCACCCTGTACCGGCAAGTGCCTCCTTCCCCCTCCCCGGGGTAACAGCGGCAGCCGAGGGCTCTGGCAGCGGTTTAAAGGGCCCTGGGCGGTAGCGGTGGCCGGAGCCCTGGGCCCTTTAAATCGTCCCCGGAGCCCCACCGCCGCTTCCCCAGGGCTCCAGCCACAGGGCTCCGGGGACGGGGCTCCGGCCGCCGCTACCGCCCTGGGCCCTTTAAATCGTCCCCGGAGCCTGCCGGAGCCCTGGGGAAGCGGCGACGGGGATGATTTAAAGGGCCCAGGGCTCAGCCGCCGCTACCGCCCCGGGCCCTTTACATCACCACCCCAGCCCGTCGCCGCTACCCCAGGGCTCTGGCAGCAGTTTAAAGGGCTGGGGGCTCCAGCCGCTGCTGGGAGCTGCAGGCCCTTTAAATTACACCTGGGGAAGCCGATCCACCCCGGTACGCCGTACCGGCTTACTTTCACCTCTGAATACATCCCAGAATGATGTTTGCTTTTTTGGTAACAGTGTTACACTGTTGACTCATATTTAGCTTGTGATCCACTATGACCCCCAGATCCCTTTCCGCAGGACTCCTTGCTAGGCAGTCATTTCCCTTTTTGTATCTGTGCAACTGAATGAAGTACTTTGCATTTTTCCTTATTGAATTTCATCCTATTTACTTCAGACCATTTCTCCAGTTTGTCCAGATCATTTTGAATTTTAATCCTATCCTCCAAAGCACTTGCAACCCCTCCTAGCTTGGTATCGTCTGCAAACTTTGTAAGTGTACTCTCTATGCCATTATCTAAGATATTGAAGATATTGAACAGAACCAGACCCAGAACTGATCCCTGCGGGACTCGACATGTTATGCTCTTCCAGCATGACTGTGACCCACTGATAACTACTCTCTGGGAACGGTTTTCCAACTAGTTTTGCACCCATCTCTTAGTAGCTCCATCTAAGTTCCATTTTCCTACTTTGTCTATGAGAAGGTCATGTGAGACAGTATCAAAAGCTTTACTAAAGTCAAGATATACCATGTCTACTGCTTCCCCCTGTCCGCAAAGCTTGTTACCCTGTCAAAGAAAGCTATCAGGTTGGTTTGACACGATTTGTTCTTGACAAATCCATGCTGACTGTTACTTATCACCTTATTATCTTCTAGATGTTTGCAAACTGATTGCTTAAAAATTCATCAGCCAAATAACGAGGATTAGTCATGGTCCATTTTCTAAACACTGAAATTCCAGATAGAGACAGAAATGATGTTAACTGTCTCCTCATCATAAATCCGATGTGTCATTTGTTGCAGTGCTCTGCTCAGTGCCAACTCCTTGGGTCATAAAATAGACCCCTGAGAGACTGACATTGCCGTATAAACTCCAGCTGTGCAGCACCAAACACAACATGTACAGTCTGCACTGGAGCTGAACAGTTTTCAGTTTGCATAGGCTGTTTTCGCTAAATATTATCTGAAAAGCAAGTGTATTGGGATCAGGAAGATAGAGAGGGGGGGAAAAAACGGTTGAGGAGA